CCGAGCCGCACAACAACGCGACCCTCTCCGCCAGTCGGACGACCACACCGACACGCGTCCGTTTGCTGCCGATCGATTAACCCGCGTCTTTGGCTCGCCGCCGACCAGTTGTTTTGTTATTGTTCGACGCGTTCTCAACCGCCGCCGCCATCGGAGATACGGACCACGACCGGTGGACGACACGCGACCGCCCGCCCGCCCGCCGATGACGACAGCGGTACATCCATCGTCGTCCCGGTAGACCGGCCGCTGTTCACCGAGAACGTGTATACGCTCTTCAACGTTCGCCACTACATCGGTAAGTCAGTGCTTGTTGTTGTCGTCCCGCTTCGTTTCCGTGCGGAACGTGTTGTACGTCATCCCATGGTGGACCACACCTCTCCACCCCTCGTCCACGGTAATGGACAGGTGCTAAGGTTAGGCACGTTGTGTCCCAAAAAAAAACAATCACGGTCCTACAACCATTACCGAGTTCTTGCTGATCGCACCACCTGGTGTATCTCTGACCGTCTCCCGGTCGTCGGTAAAGGCGGTGGTGCGTTTCACACATTTTGAATGAATTCCCTGCTCGGTATGCATGAATAATATTACGTTCGGCTTCATTAAATTCAAAATACCTTTAATAATGTGTACATATCAGTTGACCATTCTTATTTTGTGTGTAATTTCCAGTACAATTGACTATGTATTCTGTAATTATGTTTACATGTACTTGTATATTTAGTATTCATTGCACAGATTATACTTCCTTATTTAGATAAATTCATTTTATGTTCAAACCTATTCGTTGTCAGTTATGGCTTTAGTATAAACTGGTATTGTGTACTCTTGTGGGTTTTTTTTTCTTGAGCATTTTTATCTTCTTTGGAGGGATAAAAAAAAAAAAATTATACCTATCAAATTGTAAGTACCTACTTTTCAAAATTTTTACTTATTTTATTACTTATCTTACTTACTTTATTACTTTATCTTACTTTATTTTAGATATGAAAATAATGTTATCATGCAACTTGAAGGTTTCACATTTTTTTAAGAGGCGATGATTTTTGTCTCATAAGTACCTATTTTTACGTTTTCTACTTTTAATTACACATGTTATATACTGAAAATATTCATAAATTTAAATTTTTTCTTGCTTACATATTGCTTACATACTTATCTACCTATTGAATATTTGACAGTGAACAATGTAATATAAGTAGATAAGAACATAAATATTTACTTGGATATTTATTTCAATATTTTTAATAATATTTCAAATATTTCGTATTTGATTAGTTTTATTCATATATTCGTATTAGGTAGGTTAGTTAAAATTTATTTATACACATTTATTTTGTTTAACTTATTTATGACTACAGATGTTTATCATTTAAATGTATAATGTTTTATAAAAAGTATTGAGTATAAGTTATACTAATTCTTATTTAAATTCTAGTATAAAATATGTATTCAATTTTTGAATTTAGTACGCATTGAAACTATAAAAACTCTTGTATGTGTGTTAGTAACTCTTATTATCCTCTTTATTATTTGATAAGAATTTAATTTCTTACCTACTCCATATAGGATTCATAATTCAGTGTATTTATTAATTAAATGGAATTATTATAACTTATTGTATCTATACAAAATTAGAATAAAGTTAGGTGATTTAAAAAAAAACTACAAGTATTGTTAAATTCAACATTAATCGTAACTAGACATATTTTTTAGCAATCTAATCTTGTTTGAGGTCATTAACATTAAACACTTTTGTTCTACGATATTTTAAAATCTATAGTCTTCTAATATAATATCTCATTATTAGTTAAAATTAAAATAGACTAAATGTTATATTTTTCCAAGATTTTTTCATCCATTCAAAATTCAAATATATTTTCAATTTGTACCTACTAAGTATCAATTTTGATACCTATTTAAACTAAATCTCCGATTATAATGAAGTATTCTTACTACCTAAAAATTTGATAAAACTTTTGTCTTGACTTTAATACATTATGTAATTTAGTTATTTTAATTTAAATCTTGATTGAAATACTTTGCAACACAATAGATTTATTAATGACTGGGTTTTGATAATTTAAGCTATAATAATATATTTTATTAGGTACATAAATATATAATTTTGTAGAATGGGTTGTCATTTTTTTCAACATAGAAAACAAAACTGAATAAACACCTATAATTGGTCTCTGTATACAATTATTTTAGTTTATCATAATTATGTATACTTCTTAAAAAAATATATCTTGATTTGAAAAATATCCATACACTACCTAACTTCCTTGAATAATTTTTATATCGAAAATAAATGTATTTTTCTTATAATTATATTTATTTAGAACACTTACTCTACAATAAAAACTAGTTTAATAAATAGAAATCTCAATGAAAAGACAGAATGTATGTTAATGTTAAGAATGTATGTATGTTGTGCTCAAATTTGAATTACTAATTAATATTTTTATTTTATCTAAACTAATGTTAACTTGTCACTCACTTATTAGGTTTACATTATAGTTACCTATTTAATGTTATTAAAATGTTGTAAGTAAATACCATAGTAAATAAATTAAAGAATAGTTATTCTATACTGATAATATGTAATATAGTTTATTGGCACTTTTATCACCTAAATATACCTACAATATTCCTACAAAATTCACCATAGAATTGTACCTTAATAAATTATTTTAACTAAAATTTATATGGATCCTTTGCAATTTAAAATAATTTGTGTTATCCAAAGCCTGAGAATATTGTAACAGAGTCTTAGGTTACTTTAGTACTAGAACTGGAACCTATAGGTTTTTTCGGTTTTGGTTGTTCAATTAATTTTTTAAGGTTTTCGGCTTAGGATTCTGTTTCTTAAAAGAGTAAGGGTTCTAGAACTGGTTAATTTCGGTTAATTCTGATTATTAGAGATTTATTAAAAATAATATGAAATTATTTATTTATTCTTGTTTAAATTTTAATTGTTTCATTTCATGAAAATAGAAGGTATTATGAATAGTTATAAAAAAAATAATTATAAATATGTTATATATATATGTATATTATATCAACTCATTATATTTCTTTGAGTTAGGTTATTTTATTCCAACTCATAGTAAGAATTTGTGAAATATTATGTTTTGATGGAATAATATCTTTAATTAAAAAAAGAATCAAAGTTATTACTGGCTACCGTTATAGCTACAAATTTTTTATAAATATTAATTATATTTAATACTTAATTGACAAGATAGATGATACACTCATTGTAAATTGTAATATATTAATAAACATACAATAATAATAAAATAATAATAATAATAATATTACAAATTTACTTATTATATGCATTACACTATTACAGTTTATAAAACAAAATAATAAAAACATAAAAAGATTTGACTTTAATTTTTCTGAACCGAAAAATGGACAAACAAAATAGTTATTACCATAGTTTTACTAGTCTAAATAACTGACATAAATTGATCCTTTTATAATTAAGGTTACAGTTACGGTTTTTCATTTTTGGAAATAAAGATTCTGGTTTCAGTTACGGTTCCTAAATTTTAAAGGTTAACCGGTTCTCTTTGGTTACGGTTCTGGTTTAGTATGACCTTAATGATATGTTGTAAGATTTATTATGTAATATTATGTTTAAAAGGATAAATAGAAGAAGATGAAGGAAGCATTTGATTGATTTTATAATAAGAAATTATTTGATGTGTAGGTAGGTATAATTATTAACAATAGCTATTTAATTTACACATATAAAATTTTTATTATTAAACAAGGCTGGGCATGTTCATGATAATTTTCTACTCACTTTATTAAAGTTTATTTATTTATTTTTCAATTAGACCTAAAGTTAAGTAGACAGACATTTTTTATCATTCAATTAAATTTAAAATTAATTTAATAATTAAATATTAACTCTGATGAATTTTATTTTTAAAATACCCTATTGAATTATTTTTAATAAATTTATCTTTAGACAATTAACATTATTGTGGAATATTTCAATTTTTACTGTATAATATTAATTCCTAAAAATGAATGTTATATACTTTGTCTTACTGCAACTTTTTCATATTCAGTTATATTTTGTTATACTGAGCCATACCTGCCAAATAATCATAATCAAGTTTTGTTTTCAAATAAAATATAAGGTTTAAATTGTTACTTAATTTTATAATACATATTTAATTATACCTATTTAGAAATTTTTTATACTATGAAAACAAAACTACAAATACATTTTTTATTACTTAGGTAATCACTTGGGTAATCAGGTATTTAGTAGGCGATTAGGAAAAGAAACATGATTAAGTAGCTTTATTAATTTTAATTATTTTTAAACATTTAATTATTTATTTTTTAAATTAATTATACACAAAGTTATATTTCATAATCTATAAACTGAATAGAGAAGTAAATAATATAATGTTTCCTTCATATTTTATTTATGTTTACTACTTGTAACACTTAATTATTTCATAGCCTTAAGAATAATTGAACTGATTATTGTCGAATTAATAATATCTTAAAATAGAAAATAAGACCTATAAATTTACTATTATTACGTGATTTATACTGTTACAGCACATTATGACACAATATATTGCAATTATATTCACACTTAGCAAGCATCTACCATTAAATTATGTCACCCACTACCATTTCAAATAGATATTGATTTTCATATGGAGCCAATCATTATTTCTATCCAGTTCAGTGTTCATCAGTATAATATAAAATTTTAAATTTGTTCATTATTTATCGATACCTGATTTGGCTTTAGCAGTTTTATAATTGAATAAAAAAAAATTTGAAGAATATTGGAAAAAATTCCAAACTGAAAAGAATTATTTGGATTTACAATATTTAAAACTAAAAAGTGAAGGTGAATTTACAATTGTTGCCAATTGGAGTATCATACATTTTATTTTTATATATATATATATGATTTTTACTGTTTTTTAAATGTTAAAAACATGTAAAACTAAATATGGAGATTGTTAATTTATAGGCGATAACATTTCTCTAGCCGTATCACTATATTATAGACATGGTAAGGTATTTAAGCATTGTAATTTAATATTATAATTTTCAATTAGGGACTACTATTTATCACTGGTGTATGCTGATCCTGCATGGTGACATTGCACCGGCGTGAATCAGACTGGCAAAACATTCTATCGGATGAAAGTCAGTCAATCTGGTTCATGCTTTGACATAACAGTGTGTTGTCATCTGTATTAATGTGTATTATCTCATATAAACTAATAATTTAATATTTTGTTGTGCTATATGTCATGTCAGTGTGAATCGTGTTTAATACTCATTACTATGTGTTCCGATTTAATTAATCACCAATGTTTTTAATAAAATAAAATTTATAAATAATGCTATATATAAAAATATAAAATGGATTTTATTATTTTTATTTTTTTTAGGCAAGTTGATTTTTCTATTAAAAAAAAAAAGTATTTTTTCTTTAGCTTTCTATTATAATTCTTAAAAGAGATTTATTATTCAAACTAAGTAAATCATTAAATATTTTCCTATAATGCTTAATGCATTTATACTGTTTGTGGAATACCAACTAATCCAGAAGTTCCCAAACTTCTTATAGTACAACCCATTTTGGAAATTATTTCAATTTTGATGACCCAAAATAATATCATTGACCTTTTTTTTTTTTTTTGGTTGTTTTCATCATTTTAAATTGAAAAAAAGTATTATATTTATAAAAAAAAATTTATACTATGTAATTTAATTAATAAGTATATAAATTTAATGTGAAGGATGTAATTGTTTCCTATTTTTCATAACTGCTTTGATATCTTCTTTTTTTAATCGCTGACTCAGATATTATGTCTTTGTTTCTTCAATTTTCGCAGAACTTTAAATCATTGAATTTTTATTGAATCATTTGTCCATAGTAACTGTACAAAAGCAAAAAAAAAAAACGAATTTATTGGTTATTTGAAAAATGGTAAGATTTAAACTGCATGTATGATTTGTATTCAATGTACCGTTTATTACTGAAAATAATAAATTCATTTGAATGCCATACAGGTACTAATTTGTTTCAAATATATTGCTATATTTTCAATAATCATTAATCCGATTGCGTTGTGTTGACACAGTCAAGCATAAGCATATAAAGAAATATTATTATGTCTATTGGTTGCAGTAAATTTGTAATTGTCACAAACGCATATAACAGTTAATAATATGACTAACTAATTAATTATACATCAACTATAAGAAATAGAAACACATGAAAAATATAACGCGACCCACTAAAAATTTTATCGATACCCACAGTTTGGGAACCTCTGAACTGATCAATATTCGAGAGAAAAAATGTCACAAAAACATATTTTATCTATTATGTTGTATAAGATTGATGATAATATTATGAACTATTAGACATATGATTTTCTTAAAGTTTTATCAGACTTCATTGGTTTTTTTTTTTTTATTATTATTATAAAATCAGCTTTATAATCATTTTCTTGTGTATTTAATTTTAATAAAATAATGAAACGTCACTAATTTAAAATGTTAAGAATAATTATTTTTAATAAATTTCCATTGATTTAGAAATATTAGTTACTTAATTGTTTTTTAAGATAGATTTTTATTCTACAACAACAGTGCTAAAATAATCAATTGATGGTTATAGTCATCATTAATAGTGGGTATCCACTATTGCATTTTGTTGTTTATAAAATTTATTGAAAGTAGTTAGCATTTAAATTTACATAAAGGTTTCTTTATCGTTAAATATTATCTTTCCCAACTGTTATGTTTATGACTTTAATATTTAAATTATGCATTCAAAATATAAATCAACAACTCTTGAATGTTTACTAATTAATATTATATTTTACAGATAAAAATGCAGTTAGAAATGAATTATTGGTACATACGTGAATAGTAATATAAAAAAAAAAAAAAATTATATAAAAATATGGCTAGAATGTTGCAAGAGAATGTTGTTACCTATAAAACGCCAGCTTTGGCACATATATTCCACTCATTTCCACATTTAAATGTTAGTGGTCACCATGTTAATTCTGCATTTGCACCACGAAGTGAACTTTATTTGGAAGTAAGTAATAAGACATTGATACAGGCATTGTACTAAAATGTAATTTTTTGTAACTTATTTTTCATTCTTTTTCAGTCCCTTGGTATTTTGGGTTCAATTCCTTCTGTTTGGTTGATAATAACAATGTTTTTATTGTTAATCTATCTTATGACAAGATGCTGTGATCGAAAACCTAGACCAAGGCATAGTATTGTTGTGCTCAAATGGACCTTAGCAATATTTACTGTTTTATCATGGTGATATAATAGTTAACTGTTTTGTTTTATTTGTTATACTTATGTATATATTTGTATTTTAAATAGTGGTGCTGTTGGAGTTAGTTTATATGGTAATGATGATTTACATAATGGAGTTGTTCAATTTCAGACATCAGCAAGAGCCTTAGATGATTTAATTATTAGTGTTAAAAATCAAGTAAGATTAAAATGTTTAATAATAGACATACATTTACATTGCTCTAATAACTTCTATTTATATTTTAAAAACCTATTTTTCAGACTTTAGATATAGAAATATTGCTTCAAGTCAACATTCATGATAAATTAACGAGTATTGAAGATATTATTGATTTACCAGTTCCTAATTTGACTGCTCGAGCACAAATTGTCACAGCTCTTAACACATTAATTGGTAATGCAGCTTCAACATTGACTAATATCCGTGGAATCAGTAGTTCTTTGCGTGGAGTTTATCTTACTTCATTTATTGATGATGTTTATTTAATGGAAAGCATAAGGTGAGAAAATTATGCAGTTGATAAATTTAATTCATTTTTAATTTAAATCTTACCTTTTTAGATGGCCACTGACTATGGGAGTTCTTAGTATTCTGTTGGTATTCTGTGTCATACTTTTGTTTGGAGTAGCTAGACATTCTCGTTGCGCTTTAATCATGTATGAATTTAAAATTGTCTTTATTATATATTAATATTAATTACATGTTAGCTGTTAGTTATTGTAGTTTATTTATTTTAGGTTTTCTGTTTTTGGGCTATTTGCTGTCATCATATCCTGGCTTACAGCATCAATTTACTTAACTGCTGCAGTTGTAAGCAATATACTTTTGAAAACTTAGTTTTTTATATTATGAATAAGATTTATATTATTTTTATCATAGGCATTGGGTGATTTTTGTGTGAATCCTAATGAATGGTTGGAACGTGATTGGACTCCATCGTCATTGCGTCCAGATACATTGTCTTTCTATACCACATGTGAAGGCAGTAACAATCCTACTGGAAGCACACGGACCAATCCATTTGGTATGGCTATACGCCATGCATCAACTTCAGTAGATGCAACTAATTACCAGCTTGATATTGTCACACGTCTTGCCAAAACTTTATATCCTCCTTCGACTACAAAAGAAGACATGCCATTATTATTACAACGAATAAGAATGGATGTTGAAAATGCTGCAAGAATGGTTTCTGCTTTACCTGCTTCACTTGAATGTCGACAAATACATGTTCAATACAATCGAGCTTTACATGCAACTTGTGATCTTGCCCTGTATGTTAATAATATCAGCAATAAACTCTTTTAAAACATGGTTTTTTAATATTTATTTTGTTTTAAAATATCAGGTTTGGATTGGCATTAATGTTAGTTGCTAGTATAGTGTCTGGAATATTCTTTACAATACTGGTGTGGCTTGACTCTCACACATGGATTTACATTAGAAAGAAGTATGTGTATTTGTATATTTTTAATTCATATATATATATATGCTATTTATATACATGTTAATAGTTTTGATATTAATAATCATATAAATTGTAGGCAAGATTATGCTAAAGCTGAAGAAAGAGATCCTTTCCTTGGACGTCCTGGCTCTACAGCAAGCAGTTCACAGTCACATGGACATCAAATGACTACACTTACACGAAACCAAGGGTCGTACTACTACCCATTGTTTATTTCGCATCCGACGCCTGCTCAGCACGCTCAAAACCACCCAGCATGACTGTCTGTGTTTTTGTTTGATAATTGTGGTATCTTATTATTTTCTTATTAGTTTTTTTCATTTGTCCTGGTTTTTAAGTAGGAACATCAGGACATAAAAATCAGAATCTACTCATTTTAGACTAAATGACTTAAGGCTCAAATATACATGTTTATCTAATTCTTATTACTTATTATTTACATGCGTGTAAATAACTATATCTTCTGCAAAGTTTTTGTTTTCAGTAATTTCATTTTATTTCTGGCTTTTATAATTTAATTATTTCAGTAATAATTTTCAAATTATGAAAAATTCTTACTCTTCTCTAATAAGAACAAAAAACAAAGTAACATTGAATTTAAACTGTAGTTAATATGTTACAGCTCAATTCATTAATGCATGTATGTAAAATTATTATGCTTTTTGTAAAATAATATTTACTTGGATAAACAAGTAACCAGTTAATTATTTCTACTAAATAAATTATCAATTGCATGATATATATATTTTATACTTTGTAGTAATTGATATTGTATTATTAGAATGACATGTCGCTGTGGTTGAGGTTTGTTATTCTATAATTATAGTTTTACTTTAGTTGCATAATGTTTAGCTTAGCTTTTTTATGTTAAACAATATACACATTTTAGCATCACATTATATTATATGTTTAGATTATTAAATAAAATACTAATTTAATAACCTTAATACTAATTAACTAAAATATTTTGTGATTAAAAATTAATTATATACCTTTACTAGTATTATTCTGTAATAAAGTATTGGTTTTAACTTGACTAATGTTTAAACCTAAGAAATTAAAAAATAGAATAGAGAGACAAGGATAGAATGAGTAAGCCCATGTATGGTGACCGATGGAAGTATACTAAAAGAAGTGTTAACATATGGTGTGGTGAATGGCTCATAAAGCTCTAATAAATTAAAAAAATAAGTTAAATTCATAATACTTAAGTATTTTTTTAATTTTAATAACTGACTAGATCAAAGAATACTTAATTGCTTTTTTTTTAAAACTTAAACAATACAGTACAATGTATAATGCTAGAACTTATATATATATCTGCTTCAATTTCTATTACTATATTACTAACTCAGATTTGTATGTATTATTTATTAGCCTTTCTACTGTTGATATTTTATTAATATTTATGTTTATATTTTAAAATCAAAATGAACAAAAATTTAGTATATGAAAAATAATCTAAATCTTGAAAGCTATGCATGCATTAATTTTGTATCAAATTTAAAGATTTACTTATTTATGAACATATTATTTTTGTTAAGTGTAAATTAATTTGGCATGTAAGATAAATGTCCTTAGCTTTGCTATATTATAATAAAGTATTTAAGATACTACATATGCCTAGGCATTTTCATTATTTATTTGTTTTGAGTATTTTAATGAATTTACTAACCTTAATCTGTTTGATTTTTAGACCTAGAGATGAATATGGAATGGGTAGCGGCATAGCAACTTTAAATGGCCGTAATGGTGGTTACATGCACGAGGGTGGTCCATCAAAAGTTGGGCCGCAGTATGCTACCTTAAATCGTAAATTCCGTACACTCGAACATCCTAGTGCTCGTGGTGCTCCACATCCTCCACCTTCATTCCGTGGTGTTCCTACCTATTCCAATACTTTAGGATATAACCGCAAACCTAACCAATCTAATGATCGCCAATATTCTACATTAAGCCGTAAATGCAAAACATTAGAATCCTCAGATTTCTACTGAAATGAACCGACCTCTGCCGAACAAACACAAATATCAACTATTAGTGGCAGTTCACTATCAACATTTGCGAGACCTTCACCTGTTCCTGATACTTCCTATCAAATTACAGAGTTGTAAAGGTCCGTAAATATTAACAGTTATTTTTTAAGGCCTTTAAATTTTAACATGCAATCATTTTAAATTCGAGTACAGAATATTGAGAAAAAAATTTAGAGAGGATTGGACTACTTACATTATCAGTTTTTACTATGTTACAATTGAGCTTCATAAACTGTGTTAGATTTTATATCGTTTTAATAACTTAAGCTATTTGTTAGGTTGTTAGTATTTATTATTATGATTTTGTGTTAATTTCCAAACTTCAAAAATTGTTCTTTATTCGCACTATATTTATCTTACATATATTTTCAATTAGAATGTCTACATTTTACTATGTAATATTAAATGTATGACAATTTACTTCAAATATCTTTTTTCTTTTTATTTTACCTAGAAGTGATTTTTTTTTTATGATTAATATGTTCATTTTTATAAAAATGTTAATATGTCTAGTCATGTTTTAAAATTATTAATTTTTAATAGTCCATTCTGAATCGTGGTCTAGTCAATGATAACTGACTCGTTTTTAATATGAAATTGGCCCAAAATTTAAGAAGTGTTATTATAAGTACTTGGCAGAGGTCGCCCTGAAATTCTCAAACAAATATTTTTTTATTAGTTCCTTGGTTTAAGAGATATGTAACCATTATATAATACTTCCTTTTTTTTTTTTGTATAATGTAAAACAATATTGTTATAGATAATAATAATATGTTTTTGTAAATAAATAATTAGTAACAAACATTTAGTATTGTAAAATATATGTATTATTCACATTGTTGTAATTTCAATCTAAAAGTAACACATAAGCTTTTAATTTTGTTCTTTCTTTATTGAAAAATATTTCGAGAGCTATTGATTTTATTTTATTTTTTCTATTCAACAATTTAAAAAAACGTGTTCACAAATTTCATATCCTTGTATTATATTTTTTAAATTATTATAATTTTTTTTTCATTTTTAGAGTATAATAATTATGTTATTAGTATATGTTTTATTAAAAAAAAAAAAAATAATAAAACTAAAAGTTATAATTTAAAAAAGTTACTAACTCCCAGTTGAAAAAAAAATGACTGTATTAAACTAATATTGTTTCGTTTATCAACTCATTAAATTATAACAAAACAGCCTGCAGTCTGTAAAATGCTACTTCCTGTATTTACTAATCAATTAGTACCAATTATTCCAATAATTATTATTGTCAACATTTAATGACAAACAAAAAAATGTTCAAAAACATATTTAAGAAATGTAAATAAGCAAATCAAATATTATCAGCTATTCCAGTTGTATGATTGATGTTAAGCTGTGTATGGTGCCAAATCACCGTTAAATGTATGGATTTCCATTTTTGTTATAGTAAACTTCCCTTTTCATAAAAATGGTAACATTAGAAGTCATTCATTATTATGTTATTACGGCTCATTATAATTTGGATTTTAAAATTTGTTGTCAATTAATTATTTTTTTGTTTTCAATATTATTTCCAATGTTTACCTCATTGAAGCTCATTAAAAAAATATTTATGTAAAACAAACAAATGAAACACTATGTTTATGCATTTTGTACTTTTATACCACTGCTCCTATTCAATTTGAGGTTGTAATATTTTTTTTTTTTTTACTTGATAACACTTTTGTTATGTATGACACTTACCTAAGACTGAACGAGACTGTTAATTTGTTTTTTTTTTAGTTTTACGTTATTTGTACTCAAAATTACAATATTCTCGTTATGGTCCTCTATTCTGCATAAAAATTAAAATTATACTGATCCTCTAGTACAAAAAACTAATTATTATTATTAATGTTCCCTTTTACTAAATCCATTTTTTATTACTATTATTATTATTATTATTATTATTATTATTATTATTACCTTGTTCAACCTTCTTGAAAAATTTTGTATATTCATATAATTTAGAGATATGAAAAAGATGAATAATTCAAAACAAAAAATATATACATAATATAAATTAAATACTCTAATGTTTTATTTTTGTTTAGTACTTTGTATATGAATAATCTTATGTTTATGTTAATATTAGTAATCAATAATTTCTTCATTCTTTTAATGCTCACTCAAAGATATATTTACATTTTTTTTTATTCGACTTTGTTGCCAACACAATACCTAATACCATTGAATACTTTATATTAAATTTATAATCAAACTACACATTTATCTTAAATTTTAAGATAAATGAAAAGCGAATACCATATTGTTTATATTGATCTATTGTATTATGATTTAGGGTAAGCTCACACGGACCACAATAGAACCACGCTACGACCGCAAAACGGTGGTTGCTCGTGGTTGATATATTAAAAACATATAATAATATGAAAAATGTAATTGAACTCAGACGGACCATTTTCTGCCGTCAGTTTCGACTTCAGTCGCATCGTGTTGACTGTATCACCCACGAAATTATGGTCATCGATGGTTGAGCGTAACACACATGTTGCGACACGTCAACCACTTTCCAACCACTTGCTACCAGCACTTATTATTTTATATTTATAGAAATATCATTGATATCTGTATAATCTATACATATATTATTATCATTATTATTTTATGACTAGTGTTATGAAATGTTTTGAGTTGGTTGAGTTGTTCAGTAATACATGCTCACATGTTTGGTGTTCAATACGAGATAAATTATGACCGAACAAAGTGAAAACGACGACGCATTTGACACAGAATTGTTTATAGAAAAATTGCATAATTTACCATGTACTTGGAATTTAAACCTCGAACAGTTATAGTAATCGTATTACAAAAGCTAAAGCTTGGGAGTCTCTTTTTATTTTCAATAATAGGAATGACCCAAAATTGTCTCTTCTTACGGTGCCGCATTCTTCGCTGTAATAAAAGTAATAATAGTGCTTCCTCTTCAGAGTTCATTTTTACACTAGCAAACCATGTAATATTTTTATGTAAAATAGAACGTACGCCACATTTGTGATTGTGGTGTGGTTATATTGACGTCGGTTCGGACTTCTAACGACCACAAAAAAGTTGTTTAAAAGTGGTCGATTTCACCGACAGTACAACCACAATTTAACCACAAAAAATCGTTCACGAGTGGTTCGTATGAGCTTAGCCTTAGGATAAATTATAATTCATTTTAAGCAGAAGTATCTGTGAATACTTCTGTCAATAGATCTAATACTACTATATGATATTCCCAACATTTTATAGGATAATCATTTAAATTTAAATATGATAGATCTATGTAGTATCTGACTAGAGTAAGTCTGTTATTTTTCACAAAGATGATTGTAATCATATTATTTTGCTAAAAGTAAATTAGGTATACTTCGTTCTTCTACGTTAGATATTTGCAGAAATCTTCAATTAAGATTCAGTGTTAGTCTGGCTCATGATTGGGCCTCCGGCAAAAAAATTTACAATGGGACCCCAAATAACATAATATTGGAGGAGATTCAATAAATATCTACCAAAATTATTTTTTTCTTGCTGCGTTCGAACTCTACTACAAATTTTAATTTATTTTTGTTTTTATATTTTTCCTAAGTCAATATTATCGAATTATCATTGTGTTCGTGTATATTAACTACACTTATCTTAAATTTTCAAAACATTTATATTAGTTCTATTTTGATCAAGTGAACAAAAATGGATAAACTAGCGGTTCTAGTTCTATTAAATTACGTCAACAATATTTCAAAATTAAGATAAGAATAACCAAATTTTAATTTAATTCAGGAAAATAATAACTACGATTTTTCATGTTAACGCGGTTTAGGAATGGTTCAGGTCAGCTGACGCGCAATTAATATTTGTTGACAAAGTTGGCCACTTGAAGACTTCTTATATTTTTTAAGTGCTGACTATAAGTTGAAGTTAAAATTAAACTGGTAAATTCCTCAGTTTTCATCTCTTCTCCCCACATAAATGATGCCATTGGCTTAATTGTATAGTTAGTGACGGGTTAACCTTCTCGGCGCCCTTAGGCACGCTCAGAGATTACCGCCCCCTTTTTTAAGTACTGTAACAACCAGTGGCGTGAATTAGATCCAATGTCTGGTGGTGCAGGGACATATTCTCAACTTATAATTTCCAACACACCAATTTTCTAGTTTCCTAAGTAAAATCCTTTTCAATAAACTAAATATTTTCCCATATATTTCTTTAAACAACAAATAAATTTTGAATAATTTTAGCAGTAAAACCTTTATTAATATAATATTAATAAACAAAAATAATCAATTTTTTTTTTTTTAGTATGCTGATTTCCTTGACTCTTGAAAATAATATTATAGATACCTATACAAATTTCAATAATTTTCTGGTGGTGTAAAAACATAACTTTTCACCACCACATTTTAGATGTGGTGTTATAATTGCCACATTTGTACCGCCCAGTTTACGCCACTGGTAACAATCCAAAAAAATGGTAATCGGGTATAGCCGTACCGGGAGTGAGAAATGGTTCAAAGGTATTATGGTTGAATAATTATTACTCTACACTTTAATTCAAATATTGTATACATATAATTAACCAAAGTTAGATTTTTAAGGATCTACGAATTCGTAGGTATCTATCTAATACCTATAAATTGAGCTTAAAACGATACTTTTACTTCCCTTAATTGTTTACTTCTAAGGCATACCCTCTTGGAAATTTACGATAACCCTCGGGATAGGTCTGAAATAAATACCGGATGCAGAGGCGTATATAGACTTACTTCTAGGGGGAGGCCAATCAAATTTGTTCTTTAATTCAGGCTCAAAATGTACACGTAAAATGTTTGATAATATTTAAATCAGATGAATCCTTAATATTTGTGACTTTTTGTTTTTAATTTAATGCCGGATCCGCTTAGAATCGACTTTTGTGTAGTTCTTTTTTAAGACCTGTGTTTAGAAAAGTTACGCTTGTGTTTCATTTGATTTTTCACCAAATATGGACCCGACAAAAAATTCAATTCAGTATTCATAGCCACGCGTAATTTGATTTCGTTTTAAAATAATCCACATTAAAAAAATTTGAAATGTGTATCTAACATATAATCATTTCCTTAAATATGGATTCTAGGAGTGTGACCGCTATTTCGCCTCCCCCCTAAAATACGCCCATGAATTGATGACTACTAAATTTTATACACATGTTATGTGTTATTTTCGTGACGTGTATATTTTTAATTTTATTATTCTAATAATTTCAAAACTGAATAATATTTTTTTTTGTCCTGGGGGGAATTATCCCGAGCCCCTCCTTCATTTGTACGCCACTTCCTACGTAAAAATATACAGTAAAATATATTATATACATTATTATTTTTATAACATATTTTATTTTAATAATTACAAGTACTTATAGCTACCTACCTAATAAGTACAATACAATATAGGTTAATTACAATAATATCATAATATATACTAATGAATAATTTAATAGACCTCCAAAAAATAAAGTTGTACTTGTGATCGTTCGAACTACGCTGCAGAGAAACAGCCACTATCTTTAGTAGGTATACAAAACTACAACGGGCGAGGGTGACCAATGTGTTCAGATGTTCACAGCAAAATAAATTGAAAAATTATATGATGGGTACCATTGATTTTATAATATACAAGGTTACAATAGAAATCCTACGTCAAGAGTTATAAGAACATCGTTTAGAAGCACAGCCATTTATTCGTTAGTTTGTACTTCAAAGGGTACAAATTGTGAACAAAATTTAGACACAGAAGCAGATCATACAATACACATAAATAACCAACAATCTAACATTACAAGTTTAGATAACTACATAGATCTACAAATCATCAAATGATTCATATAATAATTTAAATAAAGATACAGAAAAGGTGGAAGTAACATTGGAGGACTGCTCTGTTGTTTATTTTGCTGGGTATTTAGCACATATTTGCTTAAAAAAAATCAATTGTAATAGTTTTGAATCACAGTTAATAACCGACACAGATATAAATAATAAAGATCAATTATTTATAATTCATAAAAATTATGAAAATGTCGAAAATATTAAAACAAATGGTCTTAAATCTCCATCAAAAAAACTTGTGGAACTTGTTATTTGTGCGATTGATATATTTGAAGATAAATTTGGCAAAGTTCAACATAAAATAAATATTAAATTAATATTTATGACATGGTTTAAACGTCGAAACCTAATAAAACATTGGCTCTATGACAATGAAGAATGTGCAGATCATAAACTCTTCGTTCTAGACAAATTATTGACTTGTAAAATATTTAAGAAATGCAAAGATCATTCAATAACAATAAAACAGTCGAAATTAATGAAGTTAAAAATTTTATCTCATGTATAATTTTATTAATAAAATAAATGCTATATGCTTATTTTTATACTTGTATTGATTTGTTTTAATATATTTCATAGTAATAATATAATAATTATTATTGTAATAGGTGATTAAATAACATTATTTATTATTTCTTTTCGTCAAACGAAAAAGTCTATCCGAACCGGTTTTATAATAATCTAATTTAAGAAATGCCAACACCGTCGGCCGTCGTGAATAATATTATTTTTTCGATTATAAATACCGCTATGCAATCTATTGGATTTTTGCTTTACTATTATTCGTGTTTCTAAATAAACGGCTAAATATGGCTTATCTGTATATTATAAAATCAATGTGGGTACTTTGTGTTTAATCACAATCAATTTATAGTCATAATAATAAATCCAAATAATAACATTACGATTACGACCGTCACTGTATCAATTAGATATAGTATATTGTATAATATGGGTTGAAAATAATCATATCTTTTCATCGAACATTCAAACATTTTCGCTGATAAATTGATTTATATTTACTCGCGAACTCGCCAACAATATTATCGTCAATCAGTTTATATATCAATATTTAATATTCTCAGTCGTCTTATTAGTGAGAAAAACTCGACGATTTTGGCTTATTCTTATTTAATGGCCGCGTATTTCTCATGCGTTACGCGTAATGCACAATAATGCAAGTCATAACTAAAAACAAGTAGCCAATTATTTCTCATCGAACGGTTTGTCGTAATGTGTTTTCGAACTGCCGAGGTTGTTCACGCAAATCGACGTTTCAAGAATAAACTCCCTCCAGAAATTTAAATTATTCAATTTTGAATTTTCTGATACCAAAATTAATGAGTTTTTGAATGTCATTCATTTTTTTTTTTATTTTTTTTTTTTTGAGAGTAAAAAAAATAATACCTAAAAAATTTGCCACCCCCTACAAATTGCCACCCTAGGCTCGGGCCTCACAAGCCTTGTGGTTAATCCGCCATTGTGTATAGTAAGTAAAATAAAACATCTCTATGCCAGACCCCATATAAGTTTCCATAACATAAAATGAATGTTTACAATGATAATTGTAAATAAACTTAGAAAATAAATATTATATGCTCTCATATTGTTCTTATGTTACAAGGAATACATTTATAATCCACTTTCAGCTCTAATAAGTGGTTTCTTGAAAAAGTCTGACCCACAGTTTTCTAATTGTGGATCCGCCCCTGGTTGGGCCCCTATTTTAAGAATAAATACCAAGGTTAGGCCAGATGAAAATTGATTAAATTAGTTATATAGAATACTACTTCTTAGGTTTAAATTAATATGAATAGAGGTCAATGGCGTTAACTGAGTGGTGCAAATGTGGCACTTGCAACACCACATCTAAAATGTGGTGGTGCAAAGATATGTTTTTGCACCACCAGAAAATTATTGAAATTTGTATACCTGTAATATTATTTTCAAGAGCCAAAGAAATCAGCATACTAAAAACAAAATTTGATTGTTTTTTTTTTATTAATAGTATAATAATAAAGGTTTTACTGCTAAAATAATTCAAAATTTATTTGTTTTTTAAAGAAATATATAGTTTATTGGGAAGAATTTTACTTAGGAAATTGGAAAATTGATGTGTTGGAAATTATAAGTTGAGAATATGCCTCTGCACCACCAAAAATTAGATCCAATTTAAGCCACTGATAGATTTCACAATTTAAGTGTATTACCTGTGAAAGGTATCCAGGGTTGCAGTGGCGTAATTTTTTTTTTTTTTGGAGGGGGGGTTATGGGGATATATCCCCCCCAGACGCTTTTTTTTTAGAATAATTATAATTAAATTACCGTAAGCACTGAGCTTTAAAAGATTTTAAGATAAGAAATAAGAATACATGGATATTATCATAGTTGAGATTTTTTTTATTTTACTTATATAAAACTACGATAGTTCAACAATTATAATATATGACAAGAAAATTGTATTACTCAGAGTTAAAATATAACACTGATAAATCTATAATTTACCACTCTTATTTAGTGCTTAAAGCATGCAATATTTCACAAAAACGTGAAACATTGAAATTTTTTCTAAAACAAATATTAATGTTAGTTATTTATCATTATTTATTATATAATCTAAAAGTTCTTATTATAATCATTAATATTAATGAAATAAGTACAGTGGTTGACATATTACTATAATAACTATATTATACTTAATATATTGGGTCTTGTTTTCGACTATTTATAGCATTATAGCAAAACTTGGTTTATTTTCTTAGGAAATTGCTTTCGACGACATCGACAAACAATGTATCATTATATTATTCTATTCAGTGGTATAAGGTATTAACCAGTGATGCCATGTTGGTTTTTTTAAGTCTAAATCTGACCTTTTTAAGGCTAAATCTGGCCTTTTTCATTTCAATCTAACTGAAAAAATACACAATCTTTCTCCTAGCTTTTTTTCTAGCCATTAATTGTTTTTAATAAGCTTAATTCTGATTTAAGTTATATATAATATATTTTAATTAATTGTTTGTGTATATAAGTATAATATTACACAACGACATTGATATAATGAGTTTTTCCCTTCGCTTACGTTATCACTCCATATGATAAATCATATTTATGGTTGTTATAACAAATTATATTTATCTGTAGTGGTTGTTAACCATAGACCTATTATATATTAGGTCTATGTTAAAACTTGTCGTAATAAAGTTGAACTATTATTTGAAATAATCTAAATCTTCATACATTTATGTATTTCTTATTTCTATGTAATTATTATGGCATACCCATATCCATAAATTTAAAAATCAATAACACAAGGATATTTTCTTAGGAAAAACAAAGAATTAGATCAATGATTTCTGTAGAACAACCTGTAAGTACAAAGTTAGAAAAAGTTAATAATTAAAAATTAACATTTTTTTACAATCATTATTATACCATTTAATTTATAATAATAAATTAATATAATATTGAGATATACGAGATTTAATGTTTAAAGGGGTGTGGGGGGCATAGCCCCACTAGAATGATAGTATAAATTTATATCCCAATCCCAACCCTAAAACCAATTCCAAATTACGCCACTGCAGGGTTGAAGCAATACGTGTTCAAACATTTTTCATATACAATGTGTTCACGCTAAGAGGTACCACTAAATATTTCGGTTCGATGACCTTATATTGAAACGGGGTTTTCACTGAATGACAGATAATACTTAAATACATATTTTTAGGTAAATATCATATTTTTAACACTTTCGATTCGCGCATGCGCGATATAATTCACTTTTTTTTAAATGATAACACTAATTTTTTTTTACATATTTGGATAGAATATTTTTTTCTAAACAATTTATGTATAAAAAGTTTTTTTCTTATTATACAATTTGCTTATGAAATTTAACGATGAACTTTAATATTTACGAGTAATTTGTTTTTGACGAAATTTAAACTAAATTCAAATTATGTCACTTTTTACTATCCAATATTGTTAAATACCTGTTTGCATACAGATAAGATAGTTAAAATAACCTTGACAACATTTACCAGTAATTAAGATAGTTGATTAATCCTGTTAATTTTAAATTTATTTTATAAATAAAATGTTAATAAATTATTTTCGCTGACTAGTAATAATTGTTTGAAAAATTTCAAACTAGTCTTGTGACAATTACTATTCATGTAACATAGTGTTTTATTTTGGTTAGGTATCACATATTTTTCTGAAAAAATCGTTATTGCTTTAATACACTGTTTTATATAAAAGAAATTTATTAAAATGAATAGTAGTGAAAAAGTCGAACTTATTCTAATTTTTGGCGATTGTAATCGTAGTATGGTATCATAATGATGAAACGATGGAATATGTTGGTTAAAATATTCACCATTTTACCGATATATTGTAGAACGGTTTTTTTAATTTTTTTTTACGTAGAACAGTTGCCTCCAACCTACTTCTTCGTGAAACGCTCTGTATGCACGGTTCGAGTACGTGTTCGTGTGTACGCGTACATCGGTATTGTATTTGCCCGCGGCCGTGGATAGTATCGCGAAAGCAATGCATCACACGCGGTAACGATTGTACTCGTACAAAAATTAACCGCGTGACATGTGTTGTTTTCACCTAGGCCGTGAGCGCACGCGCACCGAACAATCCGAACACGACCGATCGTCATCTTGGCAGAGACAGTTCACGGCGGATGGAATAGAAAAAAAATCGAAACAAAAAATTTGGAATAAACGCACGTCGCGCAAACCTACGAACGACGCGCGTAACAACAGTGCACCCGCGCACGTACGGTGTTTGCGTTCTCGTGGAACATGTTTCACGTGAAGTTGTGCTTTTACGTTCCATTGTTCATCGCCGTAGTGCCGCCGTCGCAGTCCGCCGAGTAAGATAGTTACGATTAACCTATTTATAACGCTGTTGTTCATTTCATTTGATCCGATTTCGTCTGCGCCATTTTTCCCAACACGTTCCTGTACCTGTTGTTACGTGTCTACGTTAGTGTTATCGTTCCGCGCTCGATTAATTAATTAATTACCGTAGGGGAAAAATGATTACTCGACGTTTAGGCATCAAGGGTGTATTAAGAATGGGTAATTTCCAATAGACAAAATTTAATAATTCAACCGATTGAAAACAAAGAGTAGAATTTCAGTAAACAATTTTAATTTTTGTTGTATAATCATAACTGTTTTTTACAAAATAAATGAAATAAAACGAAATGAAAACACCTATATAATAACAGAAAATTAATATAAACAATTTATATTAAACTTAAATTCCTCTCCTTGCCACGGGCAGGTAAAAGCAGACTTAAAATTTTTTCCCAACATTTCGGAGGAGGGGAGGTAGCTGAGTCCCATTAGCCCCTAACCCAGGGGTGGCAGTTAAGTGGCACGCATGAGATTTTCGATGGCACTCGAAAAACTTTCATTTGTTCATATATATTTATAAACATACAATAAGTAACATACAATAAATTGAATTATCAATTTCACATATTAATAAAACTTATTTCACAACGACGTATTGTTAGCTTATCTTTATTATTATGAAATATAATTTAAACGTTGTAATATAATGGGTAATTAAATTTCTAGAAGTGTGTGTTCACTTCAACTAGAAGTTGTATTCCAACAAACAATAATAATAATTTAATATTTGTTTTACATTATTTCTAGTTTTACATAAATTTCTACATTATATCATTAATTTTTAATTTATATTTTTCTGTGTTAATAAAAATAATTATGGCACGACTGATTTTTTTTTTTTTTTTTAATTATGTCGTAAATTGGCACGTTGAAAAAATCCTATTTGCCATCCCTGTTCTAACTTATAGATATGACTCTGGTAAGTACTATTATTACGCGTATTCTACGTAAATATATCGTAACATAAAACTCGATGGTAGTGAACTAGTGAGTACCTAAATACGTGCGATATAACGTAATGTATGAAGGACGCAATAATTAACTTGAGTCACAGCACCTGTATAGGTACATATAGTTAAGTCAATATACGAGAACGTGAATTTAGAAAAATATAAATGTAACTATATCTACACGTTTAAAATTAGTTTGAAGTAGTACAGGAATAAGTACAGTGGGTAAGTAATAATAAGCCATTACATACATCGTTATGGTTCAATGATGCGCATAGCATATTCGTTTATATGCATAAACGTATATAAATATTTATGAGTTATTTTGTTTAAAATGTGAAAAAATCAAATTTTATTTCGTTTCCAGTCCAGTATGAACATTTTTCAAAAGCTTTAGTAAGTGTTAATAATGATTATTTGAATTAATCTATTTTTTTAACTTCACTAGTATACTAGATTAAATCTATCCTATAATCATACAAGTACCAAAATAGATTATCTTTTTTTATACCAATCTATAATTCAATATGATATGGTAATTTGGGGTGATGCTTATAAAAATGTTTTTAATCCCTTAAAAGTACAACAACATACATATAATTCGTAAATGTTTATGCAAAAAAAACTCATATTATTTTTGTATGTAAAAAATCTAGTTTTATCTTTCATAAACAAAACGATAAGTCCATGAAAGAAGATATATTATTTAATATTAAAATTTTGTATACAAATAAATTTTTTTGTCAAAAGTTCATAAATTGTTCTGTAAATTGTAATTCCGCCAATTTATGTAAAAAAATATATAATGATAATATCAGCATTAAGAAATGTATCAACAATGTTTATAATTTAATAAATTTGATATTTCCAAGTCTTTAATTATTTCTTTATTTCTTTATTTAATATTTATTAAATATAATTTAATTAAATCACACGTGTACCATAGCTCTCTACATCACCACAAACTCTGCTGAAAGATGTAAGTAATTTTTGTTATTTAAAATAATAATAATAATAATAATAATAATAATAATAATAAAAATACTCGTAAGGATATATAGGATTCACTCATAAGCTTTGAAAAATAATTAAAAATTGAACGACTAATTCGACATTCTAGAAAGGTACCTAATTGAAAGTGGAATTAGTGAGACTGCTATCCTATGTGTAGGTGCATAATATTATACTTGCAATAATATATACATATATATATATATATATATTGTCGCGAGGACGCGGCGAGAAGCGGGTGTAAAAAATTTTTTTCAAAACGAACGCTTTTCTAAATATTATTTTTGAAGAAGCTGGCCACTAATCACTATTTATATATTTTAGCCGTAATGTACTTAAACTATATTACTATGACTATACATTCGTTAACCGATCGTAATGGCATTGTGATTTTTCTTTTGTTCAGTTAAACGACCGCGAGAATATTTAGTAAAATAATTATGTTATTCAGTTGTGCTTTACAACGTTGGCGGGCGATGTAGGTTTTTGGATAGAAACGAATACATAATACTTCAGTGATCGAGACAATGCAATTGATTTATATTATTTAATCAAATTTCCCATAATCAAAATTGTGCTTTACATACATAATACGTATTAAGTATACATTTTACTTGAAGAATACTTAATTAATATTGTTATTATTAAATGTATGTTACGGAGAACGAGAGTTGTATATTATATGTGCCAGTTTTTAATTTAAACGCGAAAATCTTAAAAATACATAGTTTCATTTATAATGTAATGTGATGAATGCGTTATTATTATTTTATGTACATCGTGTGTCGTATGTGCATATTGAGGTGTACAATATATTGTAGTAACGTTTCCGAAACTTGTGGTAATTAAGGGTGCTGCGCGTGACTATGATGCACTAATTATTTTTCTCTTCATTTTTCAATGAATTTTGGTTGTATCAACTTAGTCCTAAATTGACCAGGTTACAGCAATTTAAAAAAAAAAAAAACGGTAAAATACACATGATTTTCAGTTTTTTTTACTTTATTTATTCAATTTAAAATCCGATTGATTTATCGGACAAATACATCGTTTTCAATAGCCGTTCAACATAATTTGTACCTGCCAGATTTTGGTCTACATTCTACTCGTATACTCAAGCTGCAAAAGCCGAAGCTTTTACCATTAAAATAATAATTATTCAACAACACAATTATATGATATAATATAGTCATGTATATGATTATAATTCTTTGTTAAGCGTAGTTTACACGATACTAGTTTACCTAACGACTAGTGAAACACCATACTACTCGTATCTTACTATCTCACTAGTAGATAGTAAAATAATTATTTCATATACACGATTTTCAAATACTAGTAGTTACTAGTAGTATAAATACCACTAGTATCAGTAGTCAGTACCACATACAGCCTCATGACTGGTCATCGTGAAGTACCAAAAAATTGGAAAATATCATCATTGTTTCACTTTGCTTTAAAATGACTCATTATGAATTTGTTAATGATAATATATTTAACAAGAAAATTAACAGAAACAATAAATAATTAAAACTTATTATAATATCTGAATAATAACTGAATAATGAATATTTGGTATCGTTTTTAGTGTTTTCACACACACTGCCGGGGAAATACAAGCTACTAGTACAAAATAAACAACTAGTGCCCTATTACATGATACTATTTTTACTCGCATCGGATAAAATAGCGCGCTAGTTTGCTAGTAAAGTTGAAATATTTCAACTTAACTCGCAAACTAGTTTACTATTAAGATAGTTTGCTAGTTTACTAGCACACTTAACTAAACAATGCTTTTTTACTATCAGATAGTGAACTAGCTAGGATTAATTTAGGTTAGTTATTTAGACTAGTAAAACTACGGTAATGACTATTTTGTTTGTCCATTTTTCGGTTCAGAAAAATAAAAGTCAAATCTTTTTATGTTTTTATTATTTTGTTTTATAAACTGTAATAGTGTAATGCATATAATAAGTAAATTTGTTATATTATTATTATTATTTTTGTATGTTTATTAATATATTACAATTTACAATGAGTATATCATCTATCTTGTCAATTAAGTATTAAATATAATTAATATTTATAAAAAATTTGTAGCTATAACGGTAGCCAGTATTAACTTTGATTCTTTTTTAATTAAAGATATTATTCCATCAAAACATAATATTTCACAAATTCTTACTATGAGTTGGAATAAAATAACCTAACTCAAAGAAATATAATGGGCTAATATAATATATATATTTATAATTATTTTTTTAAACTATTCACAATACCTTCTATTTTCATGAAATGAAACAATTAAAATTTAAACAAGAATAAATAAATAATTTCATATTATTTTTTGCACACACTCGAGTTGGGTTCCAGATTTCAAAAACAGCATGAATTGGGTCCGGACGTATTTTATGGAGTACATGAGTTGGGTCCCAGTATATTTTATAGAGTGCATGAGTTGGGTCCCGATATATTCTAGCCTATTAGCGTTACCCAGAAGACACCACGAGGAGGTTGGCTAGAATGTCTCTCAAAAATGTTGTATTTGTTACTTTAAGGTCTGATGTAGAGATTATTAAAATATTAAAATTATTATTATTAAATATGAGACATTTTTTTTTTTTGTTATTTTTATTGTTTTTTTTTTTTTATCGGAAATATTTGTACTATTTTAAACTAGGTAATAAATTTAAAAGACGCATCTTTTACAAAATCCAAGCGGCTCAATTCTCCACTAGTAAAACTAAGCATCTTTTCTCGTAAAAATTTTTCTTTTTCTACTCTTTTGATTGGCTGTGTGGCTGAGCTCCGAAGTGATACGTAAATTTCACTTTGGATCCCAAGTAAAATTTCTATTAAAACAAAAATGTTAGAATGAGCTGCACTGAAACTAGCATTTAATTTTGCATGAAAACTTTCTATTTGTGGTGCGATTTGTGGTTGCTGCAAACTGAGCCCAAATATTAGGAGGAAATAATGCATCTTGCTCAATATATGTTTTTAGAAGATAATCACAAAATTTATCGACGTTTGTATTAATTGGTTTGATAGTCACTAAGTCATCAATAAAACAAACACCTTCTCTGGTTTTAAAAACGGTAAACCAAAAACACATTTAAGATAGTCACTTATATCATTATCGGAACGTTTATACGCGTTTGATAGCCTAAGCTGTTGAATTTTTCGCCACCAACTTTGCAATAAATGAAATCTATAACCCTTAATAATAGCATTTGGCCAAACACACTTGACAGACGTATGAATTGACATCTCATAATTGATATATATTTCGGTAGGTTGAAAATTCAGTTTAAGAGACGTGCAATAACTCACAATATACTGAAAAGCTTTAGTGTACGTTTCTAATGTTTTGTTGGGTAATACCAAGAAAACCAATGGTACATATAATCCATTTCGAAATCCATGAATAGCAAAAAGTTGTAAAAAGTATTTCGTACAACTTTTAAACGTCCCGTCCATGTATACTTTAGTAACATCACACAAAATTTTCAAATTCGTCTCAGTTGAAAAACTTATGATATTATCCACCAAATTGTTACAGAATAAAAATTGTTCGCCTCTGTTTGTAGTTATGTTCATTGTGGTTAAACAATTATGGGTGTCTTGTATGCTTTTAGGTAATTTAGGATATAGTACTTTACGAGCATGATGAATGTTGTTTTTTATCAATTTCAAATCATTAGTGTCTATCGAAAGTATATCGCTGTTTTTCAACTTAGATCTAATGATTTTTGAAGGTCGTGTAGAAATATCATCTTGTGCTTTTCTTTTAACCGAGTTACTTAACTTTTGTCTATTCAGAACCTTCTCATCAAATTTTTGGTGATTATGCACGTTACATTTCTCTATTATGTCTAAAGTGCAAAATAGTTTTAAAAAACATTTACAGATATTAAAATAACACTTCCAACGTTGTACATCATTCCGCAACATATGTTGCGAATTTAAATTTTGCTTCCACAAAATATTTTGTGGAAGCGAAATTTAAATTCGTCTTTAATGATAATTTTTTTTACCTTTTTCGCTTGACATGAAATCCATAATTTAATTTTTATATGTAATATATCAACAAAAAAAAAAAAAACAGGCTATACTTTTTATATTTTATATTTTATTAGATGGACTTTTAGCCTTGACACGTGCCTGTATATTGACAAGTTACAATATGATTATAAGATTCTAATATAAGATATTACCGATTATTATTAAGACTACTCTTATAGCCGAAAATTACCACGGACCCAATTTGAGTATTATCGAATAACATCACAGACCCAACTTGTGTTTATTTTAAGCGATCAAATAGCTCGGGACCCAACTCGCGTTTTCCCTATTTTTTAATAAATCTCTAATAATCAGAATTAACTGAAATTAACTGGTTCTAGAACCTTTACTCTTTTAAAAAACCAAAACCTAAACCGGAACCCTTAAAAAATTAATTAATCAACCAAAACCGAAATTAGAACCGAAAAAACCAGGTTAGGTTCCAGGCTAGGTTAGTTTCCAGTCCCTGCATAGAACACCCGTTGTGACATTATTGGCATTATCTACCCGTGTCGATGCAAATCGTGCAACGAGCAATGTTTAATTGGAACAATAAACACTCGTTGTTTTTTGGTCATATAGTCAGAGTTTTTTTATTTTTTTATTTTAGAACTTCAGTACTTATATTATTATTACAGTTACAGTCAGGGTTTAAAGTGCCAAAAGAGGGCAGGGGTGACTTTAATCCAGATATCATTCACAGAATTTCTTATAGTCCCATACAATTACTAGGTAATTAATTATTAAGAGGTATATTAATTATGAGGTGTTGTTCTACAAACTATTCATGTGCTGTAAAAATGCAAAAACTTGTAAATTACTTACTTATTGTTTTAAATAATTGTAAATTTTTTTTCCGTCGAATCCAGAGGACCGACAAATAATAAAACCTATATGATTGAGGGTTGAATTGAACAAACCGATTATATTTTCGCCAGGATAATTGGACTAACAAGTAAGTTAGTCACCATTATTGTTTTAATCTATTAATTGGGTCAAAAAAGTAGACATTTTTAACAATAAAACTAATTCACTTATCAAACGTTAAATCAATACTTGAACTAAGTACATATTATATAGATAACGAGATAATGTCATGATTTCATGATGATGTAAATATATACATATAAGATTAGATTATAAAAAAATATTTCAATTGTAAACAAATGTAGATACATATATATATATGTATTATCATAGTATAATTTTAGTTGTTAAGTGTCCATCGTGTTGGTTTATACTGGTTTGAACGCTTCTATAATATTTTATAGTAAACTAGCTAAACCCGTGCCGTGAAAACATTTTTTAGATAAATTGATTTTACATTGGTCGTGAGTTTATTACAATGGAATAAAAATAAAATTATTAATAAAATAAATTATTTATTAATGATTTGGTCACGTTAAAAAATAAACTAAACTACGGTAATTTGTTAATTAACTGAAAATTCGAAAAATGTACTCATAAAAAAAAGCCATTATTCCAACTGTTGTAACTCTTAAAATGCATTTCAAGAATAAAAATACTTAGTAGGGCAAATAAAATAATAAAATATTTTTAATTTCAATATATTTTATCATATTTTAAATTTAATTTTTTAATTTTACTAATTAAAAAAAAAAAAAATTATATATCTGCCAATATAGTTTTTCGGATTTTGATTTATCGGCTATTCTATATTTAGGCTCATAAGTGTCCCTCAAATAAATTTTTGCCTTTATACCACACCCGAGTAAATACTTTTTGTGCAATCGATAGTGATGTTCGAGTTATTTTTTCGTTTGTCACGATCTATTATACCAGAAATAGGATGCTGCGTTGTGCAGTAATGTTTATTATTTCACTCGAATAATTATTATTAAGTACGTCCACTGTGTATGTTTTAGGCTCATAAAATCCTGCAATACGGTGTACAACAATACAGAACTGTCTCCGGAGAAAATACTTCGATGGTTATCCGATCCTTGTCGGTATGACAAGACCATAGCGCCGAGAAAACTCAGTGCACACACTCCAATCATAGTGTCCACTCGGATTCACGTGTACTATATCACTTCCGTGTACCCGCAAAATTTAGTATGTAATTGTTTTTCGATGTATTACTTGTTGAGTTGTCCAGCTTCGGCAAGATATCCTGTTCGGTCCTAGATGTATACGTGTAGAAACACTAAAGTGGTGTCCGATAGTATCGAAGTTGTTTGGATGGGTTGTGGCTGGATTTTAATATCAAATTTGTTGTCTAAAATCATTCATCACACTCACGTCATACTTCCTCACTTTAATGAATTCTGTATGTCGCATAAATATTATATCAAAATATATGGGTACCTCACTCTGAAATCAAAATTCCAAAGCATTGCACTGCACGATCAAACCGTTCCCAAGGTTCACTGCAGATGATTTAAATGTTGAGATTGTTATGTGTAGATACGTTCGAAGTACAGACGACCAGGCAAGTGACTATTCGAACCCCGATAATTTGGGGCTAGGTAAATTGATTCCGCCATATTTTGAGTACATTTTGAAAGTGGTAAGTTGGGTCCCGGGGAAAAAAAGTAGTAGGTAAATTGAGTCTTAACTACTAACTATACTACCTCGCCGTAGTCATTTTATAAATTACAATTTACACGTAATCAACATAAATCTATCGGTTATTGATTCCATTGTAATCAAATAACTTCGTAACGTCGTAAATTTGATTATGTCTAATTAAGATACGTATATAGGTATATACGTACATTAGTTTATCATATATCGCGTATCAGTTATCAGTTAACACCAATATTGATGATAGTTCTTATGATTACATACAGACACGAGTGTACGAAATCTGAGCATTGCGTACTGTACATCGATTTGAGTTTGTTAAATTCGTGTCTTTTAAGTTTTTACCGAAAATGAAATAAAAAACATAGTAATATTAAAATTGACTTCTAATAAAAATGATTAGATATTTAAAAAAAAATTGTTTACCTGTGACTTAATCTACTACCTTTTTTTCCTGGGACCTAATTTCCCTACTGCCTTCATTTTCCCGGGACACAATTTACCGAGAAAAGTTTATTTAGGACCCATTTTACCAACTCCCGATAATTTGAACTATCTTCTTTAATGTATTCGGATATGAATTCATCTAGATAATCATCTCAATTAGATTTCTCTTCTTTTCCGCATTTTCGAGTGATCGCGTGTAGTGGTGATTAAATGTTTAAAACATTAACCCAAATAAAATCGCAATTGATTTTGTGAATAATTTATTGAGAAAAATTTTTTTGCAACTTTATCAATTACGATAAAAAAAAAAAAATTAAAAAATGCTGAACTGATTAGAAATAATATCTATACTACATAATGTAACTGTTATTGAATTCAAGGATTTCAAAATGCGCGTACTGTTACAACTCCGGTGGCAAGACGTCCGGCTGGCATTCGATGACCTTGCCCGAGTGGACACGTCTGAAGTGGTATGTCAAAAGGGAATACTGGATCGGATATGGATACCGAACGTGTACATTACCAACGAGAAGCACTCGCTGACCATAGCCGACTTTACCGAGGATCTGATGGTCACGGTGCTGCCGGACGGGAACGTCATGTTGTCTGTCAGGTAATGCGTCATTATTGGCATTTAGATGCCATCGCGTGTAGCTTATGACTCGGTGGCGCCAAACTAATACACCGAGTGAACGGCAAGCAATGAATTCAAATACTTAATCGGGACGATGGGTGTTCAGAATAAATATGTCCAAGTAATTACAAAGCTTTTAGATCGTGGGAGAGGTACATTTGGGCGGGACCTACTTTTCAGATTTTGCTTCGCCAATACGTTCTGAGTTCAGCGCCACTGCCTGTTGTTAAAATTTTCATCAAACAGCTGTAACGCTGTCGCGTGTTTATTAATGTATACGTGTTTCTTGTGTTGCTGCTACACAGGTTAAAGACATCCGTGTTCTGCTGGCTGAAATTGGGAAGATTCCCGTTCGACCGTCAACAATGTCACTTCACCATGGAGAGCTGTAAGGGTCTCGTAGTGAAATCTGTCCGAGACAAGCTGTCCGGATGATCGGGGAAATGCTTCCGGCCCAATTATGAGGGTTTATTAACGTTATACGTTTCGAACAAGTCAGGGAATCGGTTAAAGCTGGTACATTTTCTCGGTTCCTTGCGATTGCGTCTTAGACAGATTTCACTCAAGTACAATTTCTGTTCACATACAACCAGGAATGTATTGGTGCGTATACGCCGTATGCCAGTCAGCAGATTTTCGATTTTTGGCGTATTCCTAATGTAAAATATTATTTTACGGCTCTATGCTTCTAAAATAACTCGAAAACCAAAAACTAAATAATTAAATAGTTCTTTGGAAAAAATTGTTATGAAGTTTGAATAAAATATTTATCTGTTAAAGATCACAGTATATGCTGTATTTAATGTATTTTAAGTTCAATTTAGGTAGTAAATAGCATTTTAAAAACAGATGTTATTAAATATAATATGAAGTATGGAAATTCAGCCCATGGTTCTTAAATCTACATCATACAATTAATTTATAACGCATGGCAAATTTATATTTTATAATCTTATTTGAAGTTATAACCATGGAAGATATTAATTTAATTTATTAGAATGTATTAAGAACATTTTTTTACGATTAATATCCATATTTTTTTTTTGGGCGTATACCTATAAATATATTTATCAATACATCACTGTGTCCATCTATATTAAAGTACCATGCAGACTTTAGAGTCCCTGCACCAAAATATTGCGACTATAGCTCTAAATCGAACCTCTAAACTAACATTCTTCATAGGTATTAAAAGTACATAATGTTCGCAAACTGTTTCGGATTCTATGAGACAGGGCCAATGAAACCCAGGTTTATTATTATTTAATTTTCCTTCTTTTTTTTTAAACTGTTATTCAAAAACAAGTAGCATATGCTGCTTATTATTTCTATAGATACTAGTATGTGAGTATTACTATATAATAGTGTAAGCAGTGCCGAATTAATCTATAAGTAAATTAAGCACTGATTAGGCACTAGAAAAAATTAAAAAAAAATTCCACCTGTAGATTTTTTTTTATACATTTTTTTTTTGTGTTAAGAACATTTAAAATTTGTAGGTTTGCACACTAATTCAATGGTCAGAATACACTAGGCATTGGCTGAATATTTTTCGGACCGTATCTGCCAAAGAATTCCCCATTTATCGGGGACAAAATTCAACCGACAATAATAGTAAAACTTCATTCGGATTTCGATTAAATTCATAAAAATTATACAGTATGCAGCATGTATTTCTATATATTGTGATTGTGATTTAACGATTCATAAAGGATGTTTTTCGAATACTAAATTAATTAATTTTTTACACTCAACAATATTGTAAATAATGTTATCGAGGTGAATGATGAAAGGAAAATGACAAATTTTATGTATTCAATATTATTTATATTTATAAATAAAATTATAAAAAATTTAATTTTTTTTAATTTTTTAATTTAGAAGAACGATTGTGATGTAGGACGATTAATTATTATTTTTTTACTCTTTATGGCCTATTATGCCCGTCTGACTTATTTGTGTAAGGCCCATGAAGCATTTACCATAATCTGGCACTGAGTGTAAACGATAAAAAATAAATCAATACCACAATTCTGTATACATTTTTACCCCAGAAAAAATGCCCTTTTACCCCCCCCCCCCCCCCCCCCACACTCGGAATTCAATGCGTACCTTTGTGAAAACAATGTGAATTAAAGTATATATATTATAAATGTCCAAGCACGAGTACTCGTTATATGTATTCGACCCATATTGAACTTCCGTTTGTATCATTGTTACAGGGAAGTACGATATCAGTCAACTAGTGCTCGTTTGGGAAGTCGAATCACCGGTCACCGCGTCTTTGAACGACAACTCGTGGGTGCCTTACTTAACGGAGTACAGATTGCTGAAAATAATACCGCAAAGTGAAGAACTCGTCATTGAACCAATTTCCCTGAATCCAAATTCAAGTAATATACATATATTATATTTTCTACGTTTATACACGTATTGCACAACTGTATATCACACGTCAACGTGCATACAAATAATTTATAACACGATCTCAAGGGGTAAACAGTACTCGCGTTTATGAAATTTAAGATGATGTGATACTCGAAAGTGTACGAATGGTTCTTAGTTGGAAAACAAATTTGAAGAATTCATGACGTATTGTTTATACATATATATAGCCAGTATAAATTACTGTGGTGGTGGTATATTTTTTTAAATTGTATATAATTTTTTTTGGTTTAGTCACCATACGCTATAATTTTTGTAATTATTTTTCAATATTTCGGAATTATTAAGAAAATTATTGAGAAATATATATAACAACTTATATTAAAGTACCTACGAGACAAAATTTCCTATCAAAATCTCTTATGATTACTCCCTCCCCCCCCAGAGCAAGATTGAATGTACGCCACTGTATACATTTATAAATGAGTTGAAAAACCAGTAAAATTTAATGACAACGAAAATTACAAAAAAATCTAATAAGAGATTCTATTACGCTCAAAAAATAAGCCATATTGGGTTGAGGGAAGAATGAAAAATTATTTAAAAGCTATAGTTTTAAATATATCTCTTAATTTATTTTTGTTATAAGTATTTTACTTATTATTTCATTTACGATATTGTAATAAATTATTATATATTTCATGTATATTTAAATTGTAATTTTCCATATTTTTATTTCAAAATTTAAATTTATATGCGCTTTAACGTTTTGCTATATTTTGTCATACCTTTACTTTACAAGCGATATTTTGTTGGCGATTCTATATAATTTACCCATGCACATAAGCATGCGCAAACTTTAAATTCGGGGCGTGCCCTAGAAAAATTTATTAGGTGAATGGGAAGGGGGCAATCTCCTCAATCCACTTTTATTATCCTTTAATACTAAATAAAAAAAATAATAATTCTATATACTATCTTTAGTTTTCATAATTATATCGATCAATTAAAATTATACTCGTATACTTCAAAAATGTGTATGTAATCATTTTGATGATAATTTTCGTACTTCATTCTTCTCGGTAGAAACGACTGTAGCAACAGAATAAAATGAACACGGAAAAAAAGTAACTATACAAATGTATTATTTATTATCAGTATATACTTATGACATATTTATTTTGACCATAGTAAATATAAAATAACATTTTCGGGTCGTGACCAGGCACACGCCCTGTGCTCACGCTTATGTACATGTATATAGTACTTTATATCTGGGCACATACTTGCTTGTATAGCCGTCTTTACATTACAGCTCACCATTACACGTCGCTCACATTGACGGTCCTCCTGGCCAGGGAATATGGGTTCTACCTGATGGACTACTACGTGCCGGGGATATTGTTGGTCACTATCTCATGGGTGTCGTTTTGGATGGCTCCCGATGCAACACCCACACGCGTCGCAATCGGTACGTCGAAAGAACGATTATATCGTGTGTAATATTACGACAAATCGAATACAAATATAGCTGCGACGGCCGGTAGCAGTAGCCAATCACTCGTATTATAATCGCGATTTGAAATGGACGCGACGCGGAAACGTTCGAATAATAATAATAATGTGCTCGTCGTTTTCTAATTCGTAGGTACGAGTACAATGCTCACGTACTTCCAGCTGGGCATCGACACGGGTTCCAAGCTGCCCAACGTGTCCTACATTAGATCAAATGACTTGTGGTTCATCGTGTGCACCGTGTTTATATTTCTGTCTTTGGCAGAGTTCGCGTTTGTCAACACCATATGGCGATACGGGTGAGTGCACGGGTGAATGCGAGTAGTCTCCCCTACGCGAGATATTGCATATTAAAGTCACTGACAGCTTTGTATGCGCACAAGATAATAATATGATCCTGCGCAAAATATGATGGTTAATACAAATTTCCTTCTAACACCGAGTTGCCGATCATTAAATTACGTAGATTTCAGTTATGCTTTAAACGTTGTTGTGGGGAACCGTTCGTTACGCGCTTACCGGTTTCGTCCTAAAATAAATTATAGAAATGTTATATAATAGCCTTATTATATGTAAGCTTGTTGCAGTTGCGGGTGAGCTAGTGCTTTGTACGAAAACCTAAAACCTCGCTTCGCGACATGCATTATTCATATCGCACAGGTACGGTTCAGAAAGTAATCCGTTTGACCTTAATGTCGCGTAGGAAATTTCATATTGGTATACTTTCCGGTTCGTGTAGGAACTTATATATTATTTAACGTCTCACTTTCTGTGTGTTGTTCGGGAATATACCAAACCTCGAGGGTACCTTACGATATAATTAGACCTGCGTACTGGGTCCGCGTTATGATAATTGATAATATTGCATAGCACCTCAACCTTCCCATATCTTTTAGTCTGAAGGATATATAGAAAGATATTTTCCATCTCGACTTACTCTTTTCAATGTCTAAGGTAGACCTCGTGAAAATAGGATCCAATAAAATGTCCACCCATCACACGTTAATTCCATATAATATATTATTATGTAGGATCCGCAATCGGGTAGGTTTCTCTTTCTTCGGGTTATTATTAAAAGCATATCGATGTGCGTTTACCATTTTTGCAGGCGCCATCCCGTGAAGCTCAAGAGTAAATCGAACAGGCAAATATTTAAATCGTCGATTAAAGCGAGCAAAATGTCAAACACGAAAAACAGAAGATTGAGCGCTACAGCCGCCGCTGGTTCGTTCCTCAACGGAACGAGGCTGAACAACGTAAAGTATATTATGCAGTAAAGCTATAACATATAATCGTTAGTGCTCGAAGTGGGGGGAATACGGAGGGATGGCATCCCTCTACTTTTTTGTATTTACAGTTTTCATCCCTCTACTTGTTTTGTCTATAATAACGCATTCCTCCTAAGACTTGTGTTTTAAAATTATATACTTATTATCATTTTTATATTTATATATAATACATTTTTTTTTTCGGTGAAAATAATTGTTTTTAACTGTCAGACCCGAGCGCCTGGCTTATCGTGTTATTTAGTATAAGCAGTTTCGCAACCCGTATTATACCCGTATTTAGAGCCACTGTACAAAAAAAAATATTATAGGTACACAAGGTATGAAGAATGTTATGATGATATCAGGAAATCGGAATTGTAAGGCATCCCTCCATTTATCTTGAGCCATTTCGACCACTGGTAATCGTATATAAATAATCGCAGGTGATAATATTATATTAAACATGTACAAGAACGCAAGAATTATTTAGAGTTTGTCCACTGTTTGTCTGCATAATATGCAATTTTAATTTGAATTTATCATTAACATATACTTTAATAACAATTAATAATAACTGTTTACTTTTTCTAAATCGTAATTTCTTAAAACATAAGCACGCAGTTGATACTTTTGGCATAGTGTATCCCGAAAGTATAAAATAATTTTACAATGAGTTTAAATCGAATAAAATTTTTGTATCAAGTATGTATGAATATACTTATAAACAATTTGATAATGAGATTAAATTTTCAAGAATTTTTTCGATTTCTGAACTAAGTCTCCACATTTAATTAATTAAATTAATTTAAATTAAGTCATAAAATAATGAGTAATTTTTACAAACACATATAATCTATATATCTTATATTACAGTACTACGGGAATTTTAGTATTAGAAGAGATGCTGAACGTGTATTTTATACCAATTTTCGATCGGATTCATTTTTTTTTCAAATACAGCGATTTTTATCTTATAGTATACGCCTGTGAATAATTCAATCAACATACCAAGGAGCTCATCGGCCTTTTTGTGTTTGAGCTTCTTAACGGTATTATTTATTTTTAACTGTTGGATGAAATACATATTATTTGTATAAATTGATAAAAACTCAGTTCCCTATCATTACTTAATCTCTGTTAGATGGAATCGTTGACGTTTTTCATTTCACCACGCGTATATTTACTATGTAAATGTTATATTATTATTGTATATAAACGCGATTACGCGAGCATCGAGTTTTCTTTCATCGGATGAGGTAGTTTCCCCCTCCCCTTATATATATATATATATATATGCATATATACTAGGGTGGTTCTTATTTTTGAACTTACGAATTTTTAATTTCTTACCCCCTAATTTGGTTCATTCCTACATAAGAAAGTAATTCGGGTTAAATTTGGTCATGATTACTCACCCCTTTCACGTGCCCCAAGAGGGTTGAGTATTAGTGAAAAAGGGTTGTTTTGTCATTTTTTGACTATATTCAAAAAAATATTGCATTTATCTTAAAAATGTATAAAACATATATTATATATATATTATTATTATGTTAACCTGACTCTTACAATAAAACAGTCAATCCAATGAAATTTATGCTAATTAACTTTTTTTTAGGGAATCAAATTCTTTATAATATATGTTTTATACATTTTTAAGATATGCAATATTTTTTTGAATATAGTCAAAAAATAACAAAACAACACTTTTTCACTAATATTCAACCCTTTTGGGGCACGTGAAAGGGGTGAGTAATCATGACCAAATTTAACCCGAATTACTTTCTTATGTAATAATGAACAAAATGAGGAGGTAAGAAATTAAAAATATTAAAAAAAAAATTTCTTCATCTATAGTTAAGGACCACCCTAATGTATACCGAAGACTAGCAACTATAGGTATTGTTTACAGACATCGTGCATTGCATCATGATTCCTTCGCTCTGTGCGTCCGCGTATTGATTACAGCTGCAGCGCGAACAGTTGCTTACGCACACATTACTATACAGGATACGGTCTCATGAGGATTTACTGATCGGCGACATGTCCCCATAGTGTTAATAAGTAGGTAGGATTCGATAAAATTCCGTGTTTTTTTCCGTCTACTATCACGATGCTATTTTAAAATAAACATGTATGTTTCATTAATATATTTGACAAATATTACCTTTTACTTTCGAGAAATTTAAACAAACAACTGTTTTTTTGTGATTGAAAATTTGTAAATATTTGAACGGTTAACTTATTTACAGATTTCGTATAACCTTGTGGTTTTCAATATACATATTTTTAATTTACAGATAAATATAAAACCTAATATTGTTTAACATCGCTTGTGTTTTTTTATCCGAAAAATGCTTATCCCGAGTTCATCCCTCCATGAAACATGTTTCGTTACCGAATAACCAGGGCTAGGATTTGTATGCAATAAAAAATTGTAAAATATGCATTTTATTTAACAAAATATGCAAAAATATGCATTTAGATTTTTATAAGATAAACACAAAAATATAGTTAAAAAGAAAATATTTGTTTATTAAAATACATCAGTGGTTGGATTTTCCTACAATGCATGATTTTTTTATTTTTTTTGGGGGTTGTTATATTAGTCCAAATGAAGAGGAAATTACTTAAAAAAAATTTTGGTATTTTAAGTCTCTAAAAAACCAATTTTTTAGTTTGTTGCCTATGAGCAACGCTATGTATTTACGTACAACATAATTATTTATTAAATTTATAAATGTAATTTATTCATATACCTATCGTGAAAAGTTATATTGTTTATTCATTAACTATAAATATAAAAAAATAATTGATTAAATTACCAATTACAAAACAAAGTATACATTTTTTAAAATATAACTTAATATAATATAATTGAAAAATAAACTAAAACAAAAATAATTTAAAATAAATTTTATTTTAACAAAATGAACCAAGTTTTATACTTTAATCAGCAAGTCTAGAATTAAATACGAAATATTAATATTAAATTATAAATATTAATTACAAAATATATTAAAAAACATCAATTTTTCGCATTTTTATAATCTAAATATGCAATAATATGCATTTTATCTAAAATATGCAAAAACATGCAAAATAAAAATACCACCATGTATCTCATCATGAGGTTAACATGAGGTGGACATTACTGACAAAATCAATAATCAGAAGTCGCAAAAAAAACATTCTGTTGCATACAAACCCTAGCACTGCTAATAACTTATATTGTAACAATAATGCGTATTCAATTTCTTAATGAGACTACATGACTACATTGGCAAATTACGCTTCCTATTTTCACACGAAAGAAAGATTTAAGCGTATAAAAGTTTGCTCTAGACAGACACGTAAATAGGTGCTTATATTGGAGGAAAGATTAACCTTCTTCAAAATGATTTGGGCTTAAATAATGTGCAATAAAGTTGTAAATACCGTAATCTTAATATATGGTCACTATAAAACGGTCTTTAGAGGGGGGGATGATTGTTCCTATAGCCCCCTAAATTAGGTGCCTACCAATAGGTACATATGATTTAAATCGCAATATTATACAAGGTACGAAAAAGGATGATGGTCTTTTGTATATGATTTTTGTATTCAGCATACGTCCAATAGACATTATAATGACGATTTCTTTTGTTTTTTATCTTCCGTTTTCGCTCAATGTAAAAAGCAAGTAATGTACCACGAAAAAAAAAACTAAAACCATCTAATTCTTTAGTGATTAAGTATAGTATAGTTTTATTTTCGTTCAGACACAGCGCGCTCGCCAGATAGAATTAGTTCAGTACCTTGAAATTAAACGTTTGTTGGCGCGTAAGCCGTAGCGAAACGACAATCACCATACTACTATCACTGAAATTAATGAAGAACGAACTGTAGTAAATATTATTGTACCATCCGAATAAATATCAGACGTCGCGTCCGTGTGTCACGTACCTGTATTGATTTTGTTTGAATACTAGTTAAATGCTAGTGAATGCTAGAATTTGGTTGCAACGATACGATATTGGTACACGTTTTAAAGAGTACTCTTAGCTAAAACATTAAAAATCCACGAACATACCCAATTGTTTCCTACCTAAGCAAGGGTGCTGCATTTTATTAGTCCCGAGCGTTAAATTTCCTTGATCCGGCACTGATCGTGATGTTTATTGTTTTGCCGGCATACCACATTAGGAGAACACTGGAACCACAGAGCTGAATGCAGAACTCCCTTACGCGATGGAATTGAAAGCGATGGGCAAGGTCAAGTTTAAGGTGTCGGAAGAATCGACGCGCCAGTTGCACGGTGGTCTGACCACCACGGCGCAACAGATTTCGATTTGGATCGACGAGAAGAGCAGAATAGTGTTCCCAGCGGCGTTCATTTTGTTCAACGCGGTGTACTGGGTTCTGTTGTGGGTCTGATTACAGTTGTACGCACGTACATATACATAAATATATGTGTGCACTAATACGGGGATCCGATGAAAGTACGTATATAATTGTGTTGGCGAGAAAATATAGGAAAAGAAAGAATTCTAAAAAAGTAAAATACTATAGGTTTCACGTTAAATACATATATTATATATTATTATGTATATGGGTGATTGTAAACTCCACCAGAATATAGGTTAAGATAAAAAGGTAATAAAAGGTCTAATATAAACTCTGCCAGTTTTTTTTTCCTTACCTGTAATGGGTATATGTAGTGATGATCAAAATAAGACCAAGACCAAGACTTTCAAAATTTTGATTTTAGTCTTGGTCTTCCAGACCCAGCCTTGGTCTTGATCTTGGGTATACGTCTTAATTTTGGTCTTATTCTTGGTCTTGTAAACTCAGTTTTGATCTTGATCTTACGCAAGACTGTTGTGAGACTCTTGCTATTTTCACAAAATATAAAAAAAAGAAAGAACTAAATATCTACCTGTTATAGCTATGTAGGTTTTTTACTATGACTTCTAAGATGAAACTTAAGTCCAATATATTATATAGTATATTAATAATACAAAACTATCAAACAATTTAATTTTTATTATAGGTACTCGTTACAAACTTTGCATTTTAAAATATTACTAGCTGACCCGGCAAACTTCGTACCGCCTAACAGTCGATTCTTTAATTTTTTATTTATTTTCACGTTATAACTCTTGATGAAAAGCATCGTGCATTGGGCGATTGGGTGCGGCCATCCCCAATTGACATAATAGCTTTTCTGACTTCATCAAGCACATATCCTCAATGGAAATCAATGCCTGATTGTAAATTTCTTCACTTATTTGTAAATTCAGATTCCCTGTTCTATTCCGTTTGTTAAAAAAATATCCTCACACATATTAATTTTGTATTTTATCCACAAATCAATTGGTTTTGATGGGAAGCATGTACATATGATAGTGGAAAACAATGTTCGTATTTGATGAGCTCGTGATGAAATTACAGCATCATTGAGAGTTTAATCCCAATGTGCATCGTTTTCTAATAGTTGCAAATGATGACAGACTTCTCAGTAGCATACACACAATTTATCATCAACTGTTCGTAAATGTTGGAATGATGTTGGGCCACGTACATTGACAAATAGCAGCCATAAATAAATACATTCATCGTGGCTTGGATGAACGGAATAAATTAGAACTATTACATCTGTTGAATATACACCTAGGTAACCTGGAACTGGTTTTCCTTATTTTCTTTGCATATATTTCTTTGTTGATTGATTCCAAGTATAATATTTTAGCATTTCAGAATATAGTAGTGATTGAGCGAAATTATATCGTCACGAAAGGTGTGAGGCACGTCTCGAAAAAAATGGTTAAGGTTGTAGATGGTGGCTAGTGAGTTCTCTGTACTGCATTCTGAGCTGTGAAATACACTCTCTGTCCATTTTCTAAGTGCACAGCTAAGTGAACAACTGTGAGGTGTCTTTTATGAATTGGAAAAGAAAAAAATCACCAAAATGCTTCATTACTGCTAACTTAGCGGCCCATTTGGTATTGGGTTACTTCATTATTTAAATTCTTTGCACCAAATCCAATTATAGCCATATCACTTCCTTTGGTTACATATTTGTATATGTATTTGATAGATTTTACTGAATGGCAAGATTCTACATTAATGTGTGCTTTGAAAGTTTTTGATAAAATCGGCAAATATGGTACAATCCAGCGATTATCTATTTCAATATCTTGTTGATTTATTTTGACAATTGTTGATCTTCCATTGTCTGCTAGTGATCACTGACGATATAGTGGATAATCATCATTTCCAATAATTGTTTCCGACATTAATGTCCGTGGATAACACTTTGAGCATTTACCATCTACCATACACGATGCATTTTGATTAAGTGTTCCACATAGACCATGTATCATGTTTTTAATAATTACCTCATGCAAGCCAGGATCTACTTGTTCACTAGGGATTTCAGCTGATATGACTTATCAACTTCATTTGACCTAATCTTTTCAACCAACCAAATCAAAATGTGTGCATGCGGCAATCCACGTTTCTGCCACTCTACAGAATACATCTAGCAGCATGTCTCACCAAACACACAATGTTTACCAATTAAATCCATTAAATATTTCAACTTTTGACTGAAGACTCTTGCTGTAATATTGTGATAATCAATAAGTAATTGGCCAAGGAATAACGCTTGTTTAATTTCTATCTAAAATTGGATTGCATGTAAATGCAATGAACAAATCTGTTGTGCCATAATGCCAATGTTCGGACATAGAACATAGGCCAGATGTCTAGTTTCATTTAATACCAAAAATAAAATTAATAGTTTTTAATAGTTTTTTAATAGCTTTATTTAATAGACTGGTATCAGTTGGGGGATAACTGATTAATTATCACTTGTGCAGTTATCGACCGGGTCAAAAATCATTAAATTAAACTACGATTTATTAAACAATAACACTTAAGAGTATAAAAAATAGATAAATTCCTATTCGCAGACCTTCCAAATGTATATACACAATTTCATTAAAATCGGTTAAGCCGTTTTGAAGGAGTATAGTAACAAACACTGTGACACGAGATTTTTATATAAGATTTTTAGAAATATATATATAGATGTTTGTATTATTTTACTTGTATTTGTATTTGATGAATCAATTTATCAGCCTAATTAACTTTGTAAATTCCTATTATATTTATAATAAATATCAATAGGTAATTACTAATTACTTATTATTGACCAATATAATGTTTGTAAAAATTAAATTGATGTATTTTTAATGTTCACTTTAACAAATAATAATAATAAAAAAAACCGTATGGTTTGTTTCAAATATTAAATTGCTTAATAATTATATTCGGTTTAATGATAATAATATGTATTATTTATAATTAAACTTTTATTCTTCTTTTATTCATGTATATATTTATTAATGTTTTATATTAAAAAAACAAACGAGCCATGGGAGGGTGAATGCCTCCTTCCCCTCTCAAGTACGTTCTTGATAGTTCAGTGATATAGTATAGTTAATATTGGCATTGGCTATGTGCATTCGGCCCAGGGGCGTATTTAGACTTACTTCTAGGGTGGGGGCGACTCAAATTATTTATTTAATTTAAGCTAAACATTTACAAGTAAAATGTTTGGTAATATTTAAATCAGGTGAATCCTTAATATTTGTGGTTTTTCTTTTTTTAATCTAATGTCGCGGCATACCGGATCCACACAGAATCGACTTTTATGTAGTTCTTTATAACACCTGTATGTGTTTTGAAAGTTGCACTTGTGTTTTATTTAATTTTTTATTAAGTATGGACTCGACAAAAAGCCCAATTCAGTATTCACAACCACGCATAATTTAATTTTAATTGCTTATAACTTTTAAATGTCTCATAACGGTAAACAATATACATTATTTTGATTAAAGCCCTGGTCCATAATTAGTAAAAAATCAAATAAATCACAAGCGAAACTTTTAAAACACAGATAGGTGTTAAAAAAGAACTACACAAAAGTCCATTCTAAGTGGATCCGGCATTAGATTAAAAAAAAAAAAACAACAAATATTAAGGATTCACCTGATTTAAATATTACCCAAAATTTTATTTGTAAATTTTGAGCCTGAATTAAAGAAAAAATTTAAGTAGTCCCCCTCCCCTAGAAGTAAGTCTAAGTACGCCCCTAATAAGCGCCAATCTAATATTGTATACCTGTTATACTTAACATCTAATATAAGTGCCAAAATTAATGTTTTATGTAACTAGTTATTTAAAAATTACAATTTTATAAAAAAAATATCAATAGTAAATAATGATATACATTATACATGCAAATAAATATAAATTTAATAAATTGGTTGATTTTTTCACATATCTGTACTTTTATACATTTGCACTACATTTATTACACACTGTGCGTACTTAGGATTTTGGGCGCTTTTGTACAATACGACTTAATTTTTGGTTATCTCATTTTGGCGCTTTTGTACGATACGACTTTAATTTTTATTATCTCATTTTGTCGCTTATGTCTTCCATCGGGACAGAGCATAGACGGAAAAAAATAAAATATAGATTGTATATTATCATATTAGTCGCAACGCATAAAATAGTCTAGCCGACCCGGTCAGGCCCATAAATACGAACCTTTGATTAGTATATTATCGTGTATACGTGTGTTATAAATGTTTGGTATCTAATTATTGATCATGGCTTTCCTTATATTGGTAATAGTACTGTGTCAGCCAACTGTTTATCGATTTCACCGAAATCATAGTATTTTTAGAAATTATTTGTAAGGCGTTAACGACTACACCGAACTTTTTTACATGTTTATTACGCCAGTTACCGGAAAATCATAAAATATAAATAATTAACAAAATTGTGGTCTTGAAATCTAAAATTGCGTATGATTTGTTAATAAAAATTATTTTAAGTAGATAACAGGAAGGAGAAAAAACAAATTTTATTAATAAAATAACATTTATACCTACACCATTGTCTTTACATTAAAAAACAGATTGCTTAAAAAAATAATTGTATTTGTGCTGTGTTTTTAGAATGTAGGAATATTGTACCCGGGGGGGGGAGGGTAAAAATATCCTTGGAAAATCATATCCCCCATGAGGTACAATATTTCTAGTAAATTCTTACCGGAAGGTAAGATTGTCCTAGGATATTCTTACCGGGGGGTAAAACTTTCTTATGATAATCGTACTCACTGAAGGGGGTATAATTAACCTAGGATAATATTATCGGGCATAACGATAAGCTAGAATAATTGTACCGGGGATAAAATATGCCTAAGAAAATCTTACTCCATCCGGTAATATTTTCCGGGGGTATGATTTGCCTTTGACACCAGCCACGAATACCTATGTGAGGAAACAAGCTTCCGCAGTCTTTGGTGCACAGCAACAGTTAGTAATCTTTGTCGCGGAAATAAACTCTAATTAATACAGGACACGGCGATTAGCCGAAACACACTAATATGATATACAATAAAACGGACGAAAAATAATTGAAAATCCCTTCTCAGTTAGGTACGGGAGCGACGACAAATGGAAGAAATCTACATCAATCACAGCACTTATAAATGATCAACTCTAGGCTACAGATACTCACGTGCGTATTTTTAATGTGCGGTGACGTTTATTTATAAGAAATACTTAATTACAGACAGTACCGGATCTGAGTGCCCGAGTATTGATTTGAGGTCCTAAATTTTTTTTTTTTTTATTTTGTAAAAGCAGACTATTTCACTATTAAAAGTTGTTGAACGAAATAAATGAATAAATATAAAAAAAAAGAAAAAGCAAAAAACAAAACAAACGGAAATTTTCATTTTCAGATTTCGTTTTTGAATATCCCTAGAGCTTAGTGGCTCCGCTGCATTTCAATCTAAATCCAACACTAAATCTGATAACAGCATGAGCCGGTGCACACAGCGTTGCGGTCACGTACGTCCACGTGAGTGCAATTTTGTCCGCACGTTTCCACCACGCCACAAGTTCACCCCGAACACGCGTTATTAACCGCAACTTGGCAAAACAATTTTTTGTCATCAATTATTACAATGCGTGTATTTTATGCACGTTAAAACCGTTTACGAAATTATTTTCTTGACAAAAATTGCAAAAATAGCGAAAGAAAACCATTCAATTTAATAATAATGAGGTAGATATAGAGCAGTTTATCGGTTAAGCTAAACTTCAACCCAAAAGATGGAATATTTCTGATATAGTTAATATGGTTGAATTGAAAAAAAAAGGAGTATAGATTAAAATGTGTAGGGTGTTTTTCGAAGGATTTTACGAAATGGATGAACGGAGAAAAATAAAATATTTAAATACTTTTGTGTAATTCGTTCTTTATTATTTAATATTATTTGATTTAGTACAAATTACATATCCTTATTTTAGGGTAAATTACAATTGCATTTAAAACATTGTGATGCAAATTACATATATTGTGTATATTTTGGGTCAATTTTGGTGCAAATTGACCACAACCAGCGCAAGTACAATGCAACTGGTGCACCATACCAATTGCGCTCAATACATTTTACATTACCTAAGAAAAACTTAATAACCGATTTTTTTGCGAGTTAAAAGTAAAAGTCTTCCAAGTCGGTGAAATGTATATGGCTTTATACAATTTAGTTAATGAAAATTAAAATAAAATAATATTAATTATAATAAGAGAATAGGTGGTTAAATCACAAAGATATAATAATAATAATACGATTTTGAGTTTAAGGTAATCATGATGTTTGTATTTTGCACGTTTTAAGAATAATCATAATTTTTTAAATATTAATTTGAGCATGGCATTACAATTTAGAATAATATAATTTGGTTATAGCATAATATTTAAAATAAATAAATAAATTATAAATAATAAATAATAATTATAATAATAACTATAAATTTATTATTACCACGAATTATAATAATAATAATATGCTGATTTAAAAAATATATATAATACCTACAAATAAATTAATAGGTAAATACATTAACTGGTCACAAGTTGATTGTCATTGTTGATTGTTATCATTTTTATAATAATGATAAGTTATTGGATTCTGATTTATTTATTGAATATAGCCCCTGCTGTAGTAATAATTACTACAGCAGGGGCTATATTTAAACAATAATTATTATTGTTCAACGACAAAACGTCTCGCCCCACCATGTGTTATGATATGGCGGGTGTGCGTCGGTGTTGGATCCTTATCATTTTTCTGACAACTGCACCAAGTTCACTATAGTCCCTACCCTGCTAACTGTATTAACCGAGTCTTGTTTACCTATTGTCTACTTCTCTGGGTACTATAAGTAACTGTAACTTAGTATTTAATATTTACAAATTACAACCTTCCTATTTTAAAATAAAAACTCATGACCCACCCACCCACCACCCGTTAAGAAAGTTCTGGGGTATTTACCCCACTTGCCATACGTTTTCGGCGCCACAGGGTGGAAACATACTATTTTCAGATATATAATTGTCAGTTAAATAATCAGCATATTTACAGTATTCTGATCTTTCTGGTATTATAGACATAAAATCTTCAACAAATGATTCTGAAACTTCTTGAGGATCTAAAAATGTTAATCCAAATGTAGTCCAAAGCCAACAGTTTTCTTTATATTCTGTACTAAGTCCTAACTCTTAAATTTTACGATACCACGCCTGAGTTAAGTGGAAACGGCAGCCAATGATATTAATAGAAGACCAAATAGATAATATAGCATTATGAATACTAATTTCAAAATCAACTGTTACATTTTTTGGATCAAAATTAAAATTTTTTTCGTTACATTTATTTTGAATATATTTTAAAGCTTGTGTATAAGTTTCATAATTTTTATTCTTCAATAAGCAAAAAACTAGAGGTACGTAAATGTTGTTCTTTAAGCTGTGAATAGTAAATAATTGAGTGAAATATTTTGGGCAATATTCAAACGTTCCATTGACAAAAATGGTATGTGATTCGCAAAAAAAAAATTTAATTTGTTTCACAAGGAAATATAATAATATTGGTTTTTTGTTCGTTAATTAATAGAAATTCTTCGCCATTTGAAGTAATTGTGTCAGTTTTATCTAATGAAGAATGTATCTCATTTAATGACGTAGGATTAATTGAAAATGAACTCTTTCGTGCTCGATATATAGATTGATGACTAGCTGAAACATCGTTGACTGTAAAATTTGAAACACTATTATTCAATTGAATTTCATTAAAAATGATTTTTTGGAGTTTTTCATTAATATCATTTACTGATTTTCGCTTACAAGTAATTGCTACTTTTTGTCTATCAATATTTGAACATGGCCCAGTGCATTTGTGTTCTACATTACAAAAATAAAATTAATACGTATCTAATAAATTTTAAAACATTGAAGAAAAAGTAACACTGTTTTTTAACATACCTGTTTTACTGATTAAAACATTTTCATTATTGACATAAATAGTTGCAGTATAAATTTTGATAAAACAACAGTACCCTGAAATATTTGTATGAAGAATTAAATTTAAACTCATCAATTAAAATCATTTTTTTACCACGTTTACTTGTTATGAATTCCATTACAAAATAAATTAATATATTAAATAAATATGTATATAATTCACAATTTACACTGTTATGTTGTCACAGTACTGAAATATTCGATCACAGAACTCCAATCTTGATATATATAAATATTTATTTATAATGCATGGAAATTATTGAACGTAAAATCAATTATTTCTTCAATATAAAATTATGGCTTATATACATCGATAATTGATAGAACTGCAGATAAAAAAATGACATCACAATTATACGAGTAGATTAGATTAGATTAGATTAGATTAGAAAATCGAACCTTTTCGTTTTGGCGAAAACGAAAATCAAGTTTTTTGGCGGAAACGATGACTGCCCAGCCAGACCGACACTGATACAAGTTATAAGTTATATAAAACATAAGTTATTTTATAGTCAAATTAAAAGTCAATAATTGTGGTTTGCACATCATCAGTTTGTGACAGTCGAGTCGATTGAGCAAACCGAGTACAAAGAAAAAAAAGAAGTTTGTGTTTGTACAACCATGTATAACTATAAATAAACAAGTTAAATGTACCAGCACAAAATATGACAATAAAAAACGATAATATTATTAGTTTATTGTTTATTTAATAAAATATAGTTTTTGGATAGAAATAATGTTGGCCGTAGCTTATTGTAATATTTGTACATAATTGATGAATTAATTTTTATTCCAAACTTTTTATTAAAATCAAACATTACTGTTTCAGAAACAGCCTACTGTTAATATTCCATCGTCAGTGTTGTTAGACAAAAGCCATCGAAATGACGACAATTTTTAAAAAAACTTTTCGACCTATTTTAATTTTCTATAAGTTATTAGGTGTTATAACATTTTCATATTCATTGAAATCTGGATTGTTATGCAAAAATAAAAAATTGATAAACGCATTTTTAGAATTCGTGCGAACTTTTTTTTTAATGATCTATACCTATTATTGTTATAATTATTTTAATCTAAATGGACAAGCATACTTATTAAAATATTGGTGTATCATTATTGCAGCAAGATCATCAGAAAAATGGATAATAAGGTATGATAGTAATGTGGATGCACTAATTTTATTGTAAATTATATTTACATAATAAATTACAAGACTATTAATATTATAAACACCCATTAAATGTTCTAGACAATTTATTTAAATTTTTTTAATATTAAGAATAAAGGAAGTTTTATTCGCTTTATAAGTTTATTTTAAAATATATCAATGTCAGGTAGGTATATTTTAGTCTTTTTTGGATAGTAGATTAATACAAATTAAATGTGTAAATGTGTTTACGTTCCGAGTTGTCAATAAAATATTAAATATTCAGAATGGAAAATCACCACGTTGGAGATATCAGAGTTCTCATTACATATATTTTTCTAAATGTTTCAATAAATTAATTAATTATTACAAAAATCATAAATCATATTTAAAGCATACTCGTACCCAATACACGTGAATTTCATATGGGAAAAAATATTTATGTTGAAAAATTCAAATTCACTAAATTGAAATGTTGCAAGACAGAAACTATAAATTAGGGGTCTTCAACTCGCGGCCCGCGATCACATTTTAAATTTAACAGTGAAGCTATTGCTATCGGAAATATGCGATAAGATAAATTGAATTACCTACCAAGATATAATTATTATTGTCTGTTAGTTCGTAATCGATTGTGGAACGAGCACAATATTCTCGTTTATATGTAAAAGTTTCAATTTCATACTTTTTCTTCGTAATATTTGTACAATATGTCGGTGAGTAAAAAACGTAAAATCTCAGATGAAAGTCGCGTTTTTCAAGAAAAATGGTCCAATAGCTATATTTTTATTCAAGTTAAAGAAAAGGCATGTTTGATTTGTCAAGAATCGATTGCAGTGATGAAAGAGTACAATTTAAAACGACATTATAATACCAAGCATGCAGCAAAATATAATATGATACAAGGACAACTTCGAATTGACAAACTTGCATTGTTAATGAAAAATATACAAGGTCAGTCTTCAAGTATAAAAAAATGTCATAAAGACTCAGAAGCCAGTGTCAAAGCTAGTTATAGTCATAGCACAAAAAACTGCAGCTAAATCGAAGCCGTTCACTGATGGTGAATTTATAAAAGAGTGTATGGAGGCCGCCTCTGAAATTTTATGTTCAGCACAAAAACAACTTTTTTCCAAATTGAATTTATCAGGGGTAACTGTAGCAAGGCGTGTAGAAGAACTAGGAACTGATATTGAGAGTACCTTAAAAGAACGTATTTCTAAATTTATTTTTTATTCGCTGGCCCTTGACGAAAGTACAGATTTGTCAGATACTGCGCAATTAGCAATTTTTATTCGGGGTATCGATTCTAATTTTAATATTACTGAAGAATTAGCCGCGCTTTTTCTAATGAAAGGCACTACAAAAAGTTGTGATATTTTTAATGCATTAAATTCGACACTTAACTGTTTTGACATCAAATTAAATAACCTTTCTGGAGTTATAACAGATGAAGCCCCATCAATGGTTGGAAAAAATGAAGGGCTTGTAGCGCTAATTAAAAATGAAATTAGTATATGTGGTGCTTTACAACTGATGCAATATCACTGCATTATCCACCAAGAAAATTTATGTGCAAAATCTGTTAGTTTTCAAACTATTATGAAAGATGTAAAAATAGTAAATTTTTTCAGATCAAGAGCATTGAATCATAGAGAATTTAAAAACTTTTTGAGTGAAATAGATGCTAAATAAGGTGAGTTAATGTGATGTATTTTACAGATGTCCGTTGGCTCAGCAGAGGAAAAGTATTGAAAAGGGTTTTTGATTTAAAAAATGAAATTTTTGAATTTGCTGCAAGTAAAGGAAAACAATTTGAACAACTTAATGATTCAGAATGGAAAAAGGAATTTGTCTATCTTACGGATATTACATTGCAATTAAATGAACTGAATTTACGCTTGCAACGTCAAAACCAATTAATACATAATTTATTTGACCATATTAAATCTTTTGAAAATAAACTTCTGCTGTGGGAAATTCAGCTAAGAAAAAATAACACTACTCACTTCCCATGTTTGTCAAAATACAATGTCACTTCAACGGAAAAATACGCAGAAACAATTTCTGATTTAAAAATCCAATTCATTCCCGCGTGGACAGTCCGACTGTGCGCACGCATTTATCCGACGCTCGATGGTTATCCTCGTATCTCTAATAAATACAAACGGAAAACATTATATCTAGTATCGAACTCACGCTACTCAAAAATCCTCACCATTCTCGGATGTACCCTGCAACAACATCCCACCAGCAGGGTAATATACTTTAATTTTCTCACTAAAATAATATTAAAAATATTATTCACCTCTCATACATTACGACACTTATGCAACCAGCCGCAGGCACCGCTCCCTCGGTAACCTTTGGACTGTCGATAAGATAGCGTCATTATGCCTCAGATAAACAACCGGACCGTATCCCCAATTAAAATTGTTGACAATAAAATCATTAAATCAACGGACAAAAATAATAAAGTAAAATCGAAAAAGCATTCACTATCTACTTCACCGCCACAATCACCTACAACATTAAACATAAATAAATCAAAGAAATTCGTTACCCCCAAACGCTACTCAATTCTCGCGCAAGATGACTCGGAACCTATTATCACCGATGACACTAATACAATGGAATCGCCTGACCATCAAAATACGGCGCAAACACATACCACAAACGATACACCAAAAGAAATGTTGCCTCCACCTATATTTATCAAAGGCGTAATTGACTTTCTTCAACTAAGGAACAGCTTCATCGAAGAAATCGGTCCAACTAGCTTCTCGTGCAAATCTACTTCAAATTACCTAAAAATTCAAACAAATAATCCTGACAGCTATAGAAAACTAATCCACTTCCTAAAAGGAATCAATACACAATTTCACACCTATCAACTCCAAGCTGATAAACCACTCAGAATAGTCATTAGAAATCTTCACCCCTCCACCCCAACAACTGACATAGCATCAGCAATTGAAGAGATAGGACACTCTGTCAGAAACGTGATTAATATTAAACATGCCCAAACAAAAACTCCACTCCCCATGTTCTTCGCCGACCTCGATCCACAAGGAAGCGACAGTGATATCTTCTCCATCACTACATTACTTCACACAAAAGTAAAAATAGAAGAACCTCATAAAAAACGCCAAATCCCTCAGTGTCAAAACTGCCAGTCATATGGCCACACTAGAACATATTGCGCTCACAACCCAAAGTGTGTCAAATGTGGAAACGACCATCCCACTTCTTCCTATGAAAAATCTCTAGACCTCCCAGCAAAATATGCCCTGTGCGAAGAAGCACACCCTGCTAACTACAGGGGATGCACCATATACAAACAACTATCCCAAAGACGTCCCAACATCTCAAGTATAAAACCCAGCCTCCAGCAGCTATTCAACTTCAACTCTACACACCAGCCCCAACACCAACAATCAAATAAAGAACACCTACCAAATCAACGTACGTACGCAAATGTAACAGAGGGTCACCCTCCTCCCAATAATATCCCGGCTCCAACAAATAATAACGAACAATCCTTTTCTAAATTCATAGAAGAATTTAAATCAATCATAAATCCTCTTATCTCCCTTCTCACCACTCTTATCTCAAGTCTCCTCAATAAAAATGCCAACTAATAAAATAACTTCAAAATCCCTCCTCATCCTAACTTGGAACTCAAATGGTCTAACAAACCATAGAGACGAGATACTAGCCATCCTACAAAATAATAGAATAGATATCGCCTTAATATCTGAAACGCATTTTACGCATTCATCTCACCTCAATCTCCCAGGTTTTAATATTATTAAAACCAATCACCCAGATGGCACTGCTCACGCAGGAGCTGCTATTATAATAAGAACATCCTTGCTATTCTATCCCCTGCCACCATATCAAACAGATTACTTGCAATCGTGTGGTATCCGCACAACACTCAACAATATTCCCATAAACATCCATGAAGTGTACAGCCCGCCACGCCACACAATCACCAAAACCCAATATCAAAACTTCTTCGACTCTCTTGGCCAAAAATTCATTCTCGGAGGCGACATAAATGCTAAAAATACACAATGGGGCTGCCACGCAAATAACCCTCGTGGAAATACCATTAACACCCTAGCGCAATTACGAAACTACAAAATACATGCTCCGCCCTCGCCAACATACTGGCCCACCTCCCGAAGGAAAAACCCAGACATTCTCGACATATTCTTAACCAAAATACTAAACAATCTTCACAGTATATTAATCAACTTAGATGACCTCTGCTCTGACCACTCATCGGTTCTCCTCACAATCGACACTATGCCACCAAACAAACCAAGTAAACCTACTTTAACTCAAGGCGCTATAGACTGGGTAACCTTCAGATCCTCCCTCGAGAACAAAATAAACCTCAACATAAGTTTAAAATCCCCCAATGATATTGACGAAGCAGTTAACTTCCTCACAAAATCAATACAAGAAACGGCATGGTCCTGTTTTTCCCCTCCCACTCCTAAAAGCACTATCAAAAACCTCCCCCTCTATACCAGATCCTTAATAGCGGAAAAACGAAAAGCCCGAGCCACCTGGCAGAGAACAAGATTTCCATCCGACAAACGTGTTTTCAATAATCTCACGAGTAAACTCAAAAGACACCTTGCCCAAATTAGATCCGAAAACTTCACTAAATATCTAATAGGTCTCTCCTCAAGGGACAATTCACTTTGGCAAACTACCAGAAAAATACTTCGTAGTCAACCCCCTGTTTCGCCCTTGAGAAAAGCAGATGGAACATGGGCAATAAACAACATAGAAAAATCAAATATATTCCGTCACCATCTGGACTCTACATTCAAACCGCACGCCGATATTCTATCCACTACCCAAATTCACAAAATAAATCACTTTCTACTCTGTCCATTGCCAATGAGTCTCCCTCCAAAACACATACGACCAAGCAAAGTTAAATATACTATAGACAAATCTGCTCGAAAGAAAACCCCAGGCTTCGACCTAATAACCGCTGAAGTAGCTTCCCAACTACCCAAAAAAAGTCATACTTTTATTAACTCATATACAATTCTATGATAAGACTAACTTACTTCCCTGCTCTATGGAAATTTTCAATAATAGTGATGATACCAAAACCGAACAAACCTCCTGATACCCCCAGTTCCTATAGACCTATTAGCTTACTCCCACTCTTCTCGAAAATTTTCGAAAAACTTATCTTAAAACGTATTATTCCAGCTATCGAATCAAATACTCCAAATAATCAATTTGGCTTCCGTACAAACCATAACACCATACACCAAATCCACCGCTTAATAGACAAAATCTCATTCTCTCTGGAAAAAAAACAAATATGTACAGCCGCATTCCTAGACATGGCCCAGGCCTTTGATAAAGTGTGGCACCAAGGCCTCCTTTTTAAACTGAAATCCATATTCCCTCCCTACTACTATCTATTATTCAAATCATACCTCGAAGACAGGAACTTTGCTGTACGCTCTGGTTCAACCTTATCTGAAATAAATCCCATCCACGCTGGAGTTCCCCAAGGCGCCGTAGTAGCCCCACTCTTATTCAACCTATACATCTCCGACCAACCAACAACCAACCATACGATCACAGGTGACTTTGCCGATGACAAAGCTATTATGGCGCTTAACTCAGACCCTGAAATAGCTTCCAACCACGTTCAAGTCCATTTAAATCTCCTCCAAAACTGGTACAGAGATTGGGGGATAAAAATAAACGAATCAAAATCAGCCCACTGCACATTCACTCTAAGGCCTAGAAACTGCCCTACCATAACCCTCAATAACATACCCATTCCACCCACACAAAATGTCCGGTACCTTGGACTCCACCTGGATCGTCGATTGACCTGGGCCCACCACATCCATACCAAACGTATTGCCTTGAATAACCGATCCCGTCAGCTACGTCTACTCCTTACATCTAAACACATCAATCTGAACAACAAAATACTTATATATAAACTGCTACTAAAGCCCGTATGGTCATATGGTATACAACTTTGGGGTTCAGCCAAACCATCTAACATAAATAAAATTCAAATATTCCAATCTAAATGCCTTCGACAAATTACCAAAGCCCCCTTTTACGTCTCAAACGATACACTCCACAAGGACCTGTCTATTCCAACAGTTCAACTCGTAGCCAAAACTCTGTATAAACGATTCCACTCAAATCTCTCCAACCACCGTAATCCTCTAATCTCAAACTTATCCACCCCCAGCATTCCAGGTGACCCTGGACGACGTTTGAAACGAAAATGGTGTCGGGACCTCCTGATTGAATAAAACCCATCCGCAACTCCAAAGAAGTCCCATCACTGGATGGGTTCTTCGCTCAAGTCTCCAGTCTTCTTATATAAATCTACTACAACACTTACACTTATTGTAAAAATAATATATTTACAGATTGTGTAATAAAACAAATAAAAAAAAAAAAAAAAAAATCCAATTTGATTCGAGATTCTTAGATTTCAAAGCTAATGAAAAATTGTTTAATTTGCTTTCAATTCCATTTTCCTTATCAGTTGAAGATGTCCCAGAAAATATGCAAATGGAGATCATTGATTTACAGAACAATACAATATTAAAAGAAAAATACAATGATGTTGAACTTTAAATTTTTTATTCGAAATATATTGACACGGAGACATATCCTAATCTTCGAAACAACGCATTACGAATGATGTCTCTTTTTGGCAGTACTTACACTTGTGAACACGTTTTTTCACGAATGAAAATTGTCAAATCTAAAACTAGAGCTCGGTTAACTGACATTCACTTGGAAAATTCACTCCGAATTGAATCGTCTCAGATCCAACCAAATATCGAAAAATTAGTTAATAAAAAACATTGTCAGTTTTCACATTAAAAATAAAATAAAAAAAATTTGTAATTAAAAAAAATGTTTATCTATATATATACTTTAATAATAATAATAATAATTTTTAATTTTAAATGTACCTTAAATTGTAATAATAAAACTGAATTTTTATATAAGATACATGTTTTTACTACGAATGCGGCCCGCAAGATTAAAAAAAAAATAATATGTGGCCCGCTGCATAAAAAGGTTGAAGACTGCTATAAATATATTTTAATTTTTCGTTTTAGATTGATTAATGGTATCATTGAATACGATCAAAAAGTCGAATTTTTTTTCAAATCTACATCGACTCACCATCGCTCACAAAGTCAAACATATTGGAACACAGTTTTTATTGTCCTAATAACTTATTATGTTATTACAACTGTGATAATCTGGATATTTCATCCACCACAAAGTATGAACGTGCTAGTTTTCTTTACATATATTTTTCAATTACAGTACTTCATAGACTTTACAATAGTCACATCAACATATTTTTTCCTAACAAATTTGGAGTTTAGATTCCAAATGTTGAACAATTTATGGAAACTGTATCCTATTGAAATATTCACCATCCCTGGAGGATGGACTTGTTCCAAGATAACAATGTTTCTGGAGGATATACGATTATTACACGCTGAACTATCCGAGCTGTTGAAAATATTCAGCGTCGGATATGGTAAAATGCTCTTGGGGTTCTTTGTTTTCAGTTACATCGATATATTATTTTTATATTTTTTATTAATTCATTTATCATTAGACGAACAGGGCAGTATTTCTGTCACTGTAACGGTCTTAATCACAAGTGGACTGGGAAAAACTATAGCATTTATTATGTCCATTATTCTTGCTACTTCACGTGTAAACAAAGAGGTAAATATTTGTTACGTAAACATTATCAAATCATCAAATATAATATGAACAATATTTTAATAGGTCTAATATATAAAATAACGTTTAATAACGTATAACTCTTAATTTTGAAGATAAATAAAAAATGTGTTTATATTTATAATTCTATAATTTATTTTTTATAAAAATATATATTTATATTCTCATTTATATATGTTGACAATTAATAAAAAATATAATGTTATTTAATATTAAAAAGTTGCGAATATAAAGTCATTAATATTTAGGTAAATAAAAAAAATTATAAACAAAATGACTGTCCCAAAAACATGTAACAGCTGCACCTTACAATTATATTATCATTTTATAGCTATTAAAATTAATTTTTTTAATATAAAATAAAATTTGACTGTTATTTTTAAACTAGTGTTATAAATGTTAAATCAATTTAAAAATATTCAACATTAAAAATATACATAGTTATTTAATAAGCTTTAATAATACCTATATCCTACATATTTGCATCATATGGATAGTAGTGGCAGATCTAGATGTGATACAAGGGGGGGGGGCGAATTTTCAAAAATCAAATCACCATTTTTAACCTGTATAGAAGGCTAATTATTTGTATTATTTTCTCAAAAAAACTAACTCGATGTGTCAAAAAAGTAATTTATTTTTATAAAAAAAGCCTATTAAACTAATAATGTATAATATTAAATACATAGCTACAAAATAAAAAAATGCATCTTTTCTTCTCCTTGGCAAACCTATCTAATAACATCTTCCAAATTTAATTTTATGTCACTGTGGATGTGCAAAAGCGCTAAGCCAGCCAGCCGTTATTCCCCCATATGAGTCATCAACCTGGTTTTTAATCTAATACATTTAAAGGAATAGACAATAATATAATAATTATTTATCAATTAGAAACTTCAAAGTATAAATATAAATTTATATATATCATATAAATAATATAAATATATAAATATAATATTAATATAATTTTATATAATATATCAACATTTTCAAGTTTCTAATTAATACTTATATATACATATTATTTTAACTAGTTATCAAGGCATCATGCTGTTATATATATTAAAATTTATATTTTGATTTTTCATATAAATTAGCTGTGATAATACCAATGTACCATAAAAAAAAAAAATCTATCATGGAAGTGATATTCACGACTGACATAAAGATTCATGGTAGAATATCCATAATCCAGCATTAGTTAATTAAAAACATCGAATCAATTACGAATATAAGAATAAAACACGACCCAATGAGGGGGGGATCGCCCCATCACCCACCCCTTGTACCCGCCACTGATGGATAGTATAATTTAAATATTTTGTTTTGATTTTATTTACAGAAAAACAAAATGCTATATTATTTACGATTAATAAGGATTTCAGTTTTGCCCGTTATTATAAAACAACAAGTAAAGTAAATTTAAATAATTACATTACTATCATGAGTTCATTAGTGCTATAAGAAGTTCAACTTCTATCATAAAATATTTATAAACTATTCTTTGTTATGGGCATATTTAGAGAATTAAAGTGCACAATTTATCCATCCAATTATTTTTAACATTTTCTTTAACGATCTTCTAAAGCACGATATTTTATTGGTATCCGCATTTCAAGTGGTAATATGTTTAATTAAATAAAAATAATACAAAATTTAATAAGAAATTGTATGCCGTTATAGAACATCTAATTTAGAAAACTGTTTCCAAGCATATCGATTTCATCATAATAAATCAATATAATCTTTGATATTTTTCTTATTTATTTAATAAATTTATATATTGTGATTCTTAATCTTACATTATAATAATTATTCAATGATTATTTTTATAATTTAGATTAAAATGTTTATGAATCAGATATTGGTTTTTGAATCGTACGAAATGACAGCCTTTGGAGTTTTCAGGATAAATATGAATCTTTCCATAACGGTGTGTATCCTATAATTTACAAATATTCTTAAAAATAAATTGTATGTCCTAATTGTATTTATTTTCAGACATAATTAAAATTCAAAACTCATTCTTATTTCTGTTGTTTTATTTTTTTCAGTTCTTATTATTAATTATGACTGGAATGATAACGGTGATACAGATGAAAAATCACCCATTTAGTTTACTATTGTTCAATGATTTTACGACGTTCTGGGATAGTATTTTCACATAGAAAGTCTAAATAATGCGAATATATCTACCATAAATCCGTATACAATGCATTATTTTTAATTTTATGTATTTGTCGGTAGATATTTCTTTTGAAAAAGTAGACGTTATTGGTTTATGATAGCTAAAATAGGATATTTAAGTTCTTGATTGTACATTAGCTAGGTACCGTGTAAAAATCACATCAATCGTAGTTCCTGATCTTGTTGTTGGTGTCATTGGATCATTATTCATTATTAAATTAAGTTTGTTTCGAAAAAAGATTTTTTTCCGAAACAAATTTAATTTAATTTCAAAAAATGTATAAGTGGTTTGGAGTGTTTTGAAGCAAAGTTTACATTAAAGCAGCGGTTCCCAAACTATGAACCGCGGTGCCCTAGGGGCACCACGACCACTTTCTAAGGGCACTGCGGTCTATGGTTCATAATAAATAGTTTAAAATGTATAAAATTGTTTTTCTTTATTGTTTTCAAAAAAACTTTATAGCAAACTAGCTGAATTACCCGTCGTTGCCGGGTTTAAGTATATAAATGTATGTAACCTGCCAAGGTTAAATTTTGTTAAATCTATTGAAATTTAAATTAATTAAGATTTTTGAAATAATATTTTATACATATTAATTTAGTTTTTAAGATAATGATTATTATCATAACCTATTCGATAAGTTATAGCTTACAACTACCTGAACCTCTCTACATTTTGGTATTCTGTTGAATACATATAGCATCTCACTTCTCCGAATATTTTACCTTTTGTCAATAAGTTCATGGTCTTTTTGACTTTTAACCGAAACACTCTTGCAATTATATCATGTCGATCATATGATCTTTGACCGGGAAGTAAGAGCTCTTTTATCTCGTCCCAGCGAGGATTACATGTAAAAGTAATAAAAAGGTCAGGACGACCGTAATGTCTAACGCAGGTCATAGCATCTTGTGTTCTTTCGTGCATGTACCTTGGCCCACCAGTAAAAGTTGACGGGAGTATAACCATTTGGCCTAACTGATTAGCATCTATGTCTCGTCGTCCAATCGCATCTTTTAAATGAATATAACTATCTGCACGCAATTTAGCTTGGTTGTTTTTGATGTAATTTAGTTTTTCAATTTTGGCATACTCATCTACCAAATATTGACTGAAAAGAGAACGATAATTAACTAAATAGTTGTCTTCCCCTTCTCTGACCATTATTCTATATGAGTAAAAACTTGATGCAGAGACAGTTTTTTTGAAATCGAAATCGTTCGCTATCTATCTTTATATATATTTCGACCATGAATTGTTGATAAAGCTTATGCATCGTAAAATAACTTAGTCCTGATTGCGTCTAATCATCAACGGATATGCATAATAATTTTTTGAACTAACATCCTTATTTGTTTTGGCACCTATTGCGGGATCTTTTTGTTTAATATTTATGCAATACCCGTCATTTACTACCAAAAATAAAATTAATAGTTTTTAAATAGTTTTTAATAGTTTTTTAATAATTTTTTAATAGTTTTATTTAATATAATTGAAGCGCTCGGCCGAACAACGGGACAAGCGTCAATCTCGGCAATATTACGATTATCGATGGAGTATCGGGGCACGAGTACAATTTATTGTATATGTTCACTACCGCATTGAAATTACAATAAAAATAGATTAAAAGGCAATAATAAGCAATAATAAGTTTAGTTTTAAGTCGTGGAAATGGTCCGTAATATTTTAAACGCCTCCATTGTAAAATGCGCTCAGTGGCACTTGTCCCGTTGTTCGGCCGAGCGCTTCAATTCATTTTCAATAGCGCAGTTATCGACCTGGTCAAAAAATATTAAACCGATTTTAACCCTTTAAATTCAAAATTTCGAAAAATCCTTTTTTAGCGCACGTCTACATCATAATAGCTATCTGTATGCCAAATTTCAGCCAGATCCGTCCAATGGTTTGAGCTGTGCGTTGATAGCAGTTAATCAGCTTACTGTTTTATATATACAGATAATGTAATATTTTCTATTGTATATTTGGATATTCTCATTTTAACCTTATAATATTTTTATATAATAATTATAATCATAATAACAATAATTTTTATTTATTTTTTAAGTTTAAAAATGCATTAATTTATAATTAAGTAAAATTTTAATAAAATCAATAAAATTGGTTATCAATAAGTATTTTTTTTTCTGTCTTAAATATTAGTCACACCAGGGCACCGTGGCTAAATTGGGTCCAAAAAAAGGCACCGCGGAAAAATAAGTTTGGGAAGCGCTGCATTAAAGTCTCCACTTAACACCAATGGCAATTGATCTCTTCCATTGAGGTTAGCAAGGGAGGGAGGAATTTGAAACTCCCACGTTTCCCAGTGGTGGGGTGGGTCCTAGTGACCTCCTGGATTGAAATACTGAAATACATTAAAAAAGCAAAAAACCAAAAAGGGGGTAGGGAATGCCCCGTTCCCTAGAGCGGAAATCTGTAATCTCGCACCTCCGGAACGGTTCCAAGTTGACTCGGGATGATTAAATTGAAATCCCACTGAGTTATAAACAACTTAAAATTAGGGGGGCGGGGGATTTTGTTCCCGAACGGTGGAAATTACTCTGTGGCCATAAAAACTCAGATCCCCTGGGTCTGGGGTCTCTAATTCCATACCCACTAAGTTGGGCTTGGAAAAATAAAAGAGTGGTGGGGCGGTATACTGACTGTTACGTAGCAGATTTACGACGCGCATGCGTTTTATTAGCGTGTCGTTCAGTCGTTTCATTCTAATCAGTCGATCACGTGATTAAATATTTTTATTTATCACTTCAATAATAATAATAATAATAATAACATTTATCTATCGTGATAACAATAAGTTTTAGTTTTATTTATTGGAATTACTAACCGAGTATTATGCATAATTAATTAAAGCCTTCATAAATAGTTTCTTGAATATTTGTCTATTATTTTACGATTATTTTTTTGGTTAATATTTAAAGGTCTAGAAAAAAATGACACTTTTATGTTTGATTTTATTATAAAATACAGTGGTGGCTTGTGGTTTGGACGACGGGACGATCTACTAAAAGTAATTAAATGAATAGTATATTCTTAATTCTATATTTTTTGAAAAGATTTAAAAAGATTAAAAATGCAAATTTTTAAATAATAAAATAGTTATGAATTTGACGGGTGAAAACATTAAATGTGTTTCTCTCAGATACCAGGAGCATATAGGTACGCATGTACACACGAGCAGTGTTAGGTCGACCGGCAGTATTCCGAGCAATATTCCGAATACGTGTGTTATAATTTATAACACATGTATTCGGATTATTATTTTATATTCCTTTTTTATTCTTCAGAAAGTAAATAATTACTATTGTATGCACCATTGTTTTTTTATTCATATATATACCTATATTATTATTTTATATTTTGTATTAAATAATTATTATTTAAGTATTACCTTTTGTTAACTAATTTTTTTTTTGTTTTATTATATTTTAATATATATGATTATTTGTTATTTTTCATATTGTGACAATAGTGCTAATACAACATTTAATTAAAATATACCAAAGAAATATTGTTTTTAAATTTTAATACTATAGATCAGGGGTGCCAACCATTCGATCGTTGTAAAATTGAATTTTACCACTATCGGTGGATCACGTAAAATAATCGGATTAATCGGATAATGGGATCATTAGATTAAAAAATTAAAGACCTAAATTCTCCTGGAAGCCGATCACCAGGGACTTAAATGTCAAATGTAGCTCACTTGTTTGAAAATGTTGGTGACCCCTGCTATAGACTATACTGAGTAAAGGATTACTTTGTACGTTCTATTGTTTAAAATGCGAAACGCAGACACTTTGTACTATTATATACATATTATATATGTATAATATATAATATATATACTACGATATGGTATTTGCGGTGTCAAGATTTAGACTTACTCATAGTATATATTATACATATAATGAACAGTAAAATTTTATATTTCATTTTATAGTATGTGTGTTATGTATTATAATGGCAAATAAAATTGCAATGATTTCTGTTATATAAATTAAAAATTAAAAATCTAAAATAAAATTAAAACAACATATAAAATAAATATAATTTAAAAATTCGTAATTAGATATTTGTTTTTGTTGATGCTGGTTACATAAATCAAATAATTTACTATCTTTAGCCTTGGATATATGTTTCTTATTCAGTCTATTTCCACATTCATCCAACTGGATTGTCCGTAAAACTGTCCAAAAACTCGGATTAGTTGTTCCAACTAATTTTTTGAATGAACTATTCCACCAGTGGCGTATTTACGAGGGTAGGGGTCCCGGGTCTCAACCCCCCCAGAAAAAAATGTAAAAAGTCAAAAAAAACTTGGTACGTAGGTACCGAGAAAGAGAATATTAATTTTATATTATGGGTTTTTACTTTGGTTTAACTTTTGGTTATTTTTGTCACGTCGTCGCCGTCCGACGACAACAATTACGACGAAAACGATTCCGACGACGATAACGATGTAACATAATAATAATTATTATATGATTATATTAGTAGGTACGCCGACTGTTATCGACAAATTATAGTAGGCATCTGGCATTCTGTGTAGTGCGTTCGTTCGGTCTTAATAATTTGCAATTTGTTATACGGCATTGACATAAAATTTGTTTAATTCGCTACATGAATACCGAAACACTTAACAAGACAGTAAGGACGTAAGGATATTGCTAATTTATAATTTCAAATTTAATTTAATTTTAATATTTAACTATTTAACTTTTTATAAATTAATATACTACATTTTGAACAGGCCTATATGAAAATTTTAATGAAAATTATCCTGTAAGATTTTCTGATATGAACAAGAAATTTACATTTGAACAAAAGCAGTATATTTTAAAATTAGGACCATGCCAACCAAGTGCTCAAGAGATGCAAGAGATCCTTATAAACTATTTTTCTGATTTGGAAAAAACATGTCATTTGCCTAAGCACCTTCATAAGACTGATCTAATATCTTATGATGGTGACAGTAATGATGTTAATTCGGATTCTGGGGAAGAAGAAGCTATTAGCTTACCTAGCAACTCCATGAATATTAGTTCACTATTATATATATTTCAATTGTTTACGCATTCAAGCATAAAATATGTACTACCAAATATTTATATATTAGTGAAAATTGGAGTAATATTGCCAGTTTCAAGTGCTACTACCAAACGAAGTTTTTAAAAATTAAAATTAATTAAGACAAGATTGCGATTCACAATGGTAGAGGCATGATTAGAAAGATTGATGCGCATAGCTTGTGAACAAGATATAACAATTAACAAAGAAAATGTAATAAATACATTTGCAAACAACAGCTATCAATTAATGCATTTATTAATTTAGATGATATACAGAGTGATTGATTTTACGTAGAACACTCATTATTTCGCAAATCAATGACTTTTTTAAAAATATTTTTTTTGCATAATTTTAAATCAATATAAAACAATATTTTTCTATGATTAATTTTTTTTATTATTGTATTTTTTTAAGTTTCACTTTTTTTACGAAATATCCCATAAAAAATTATCCTTGTCATTAAAAAAGTAACAACCTTAAAAATAACAATGATAAAAATAATAAAAAAATATTTTCTTTAGAAAAATGTTGTTCTATATTGACTTATCATTATGTAAAAGAATTATTTTGAAAAGAGCCATAACAGCGAAATAATGAAAGTTCTACGTAAAATCAATCATCCAGTATATTTATTATTACCATTGTTATTTATTTTTAATCTATTTTAGTATAGTTTAAGTATACGTTTATATCTGCACGTTATATTTTTATTTTGTAAATAATACTATTTAATTCAAGTTGTATTATCTGTTTATAGTTGGAAATAAATACTATAAATAAACTACTATTCAATTGCTCAACATTTTTTTTGAAGGTGGGTGGGTGGGTCTAACACCAGCGATTTTTTCCCATAGCATGAAATATAAATCGGCCCCACTGTTTCCACCAACAATATGGTCTAATTTTAGTGCAAGTATATCTAGAACAAAAAATAATTGTGAATCATTTCACGCACAATGAACTATTTTAAAAATCGCATCTACATATTAATATATTTTTAAAAATTTTAATTTCTAATGTACAAAACAACACATACATTAAAATTAACAGTTGCAACTTAGGTATACAAAAATCTGTAAGATGTAATATAAAAAAACATTAATAAATACAACAAACGTAATATAAGAATATAAAAATAAAAAAATTTTAAAAATGACATTTTTAAAAAAAATATCCAACAATTATTTGAAATAATAAATAATTATTAAAAAAAATAAATGTTTTTTCATTTTTATATTTCGTCGCCGTTCACAGCACTCCATACCTCTTTCACTTATATACCACATCCTTACACACTTATATTAAATTAGTTATTTTTTCTAGCAAAATATTCTCTAGAAATAATTTATATGATAAAACAACGTTTGTCGGATCAGCTAGTTTAACTATAAAATTCAATTGGAGTTCAAAAATATGAATCCGAAAATTAAGTCAAACAATTTTTGGGGGGTCAATAAGAACCGCCTCTCCGTGGTGGCTCCTGGATAACTCTAAATGGTTCTCAAACTATAATTTAGACATTTGTGTAGAAGTAGATTTGGCGGAAACGAAAATCAAGGTTTTGGCGGAAATGACTGACGCCCGTCTGTCCCACCCCGATACCCGGCAATCGCAGGGGACCCTGAGATTTATTCTTAAAATAGGGGCCCAACCAGGGGTGGGTCCAAAGTTAAAGAACTGTGAGTCAGACTATTTCAAGTGACCATTTATTTAAGTTGAAAGTGGATTATAGATGTATTCCTTGTAACAAAAGAATAATATGATCATATAGGTATTTATTTTCTGAGTTTATTTATAATTATCATTGTAAACATTTATATTATTTTATGGAACCTTATATGGAGCTTAGCATAGAGATGTTTTATATTACTATAAATTAAATCAGTGGCTTAATTTATGAGGTGGGGAGAAGAGGTGGAAACTGGGGCATTTACCAGTTTTAACTTCAAATTATAGTCGGCACTTAAAAATATAAGGTAGTATATAGTTTATATACTACCAAATGAAAATGTCATTAATGGGTGGCTGCTTTCCTTAAATATAACATGTACTATATATTGTTTATTGTAAACTGTTTGTATTTAATATCTAATATGTTTTAATATCATATATATTTTTTCACATCTACTTATTGTCCTGTTACGCGCAGATTGTAAATCATATATAAATATAAAAAAAAAATATTAAATTGTTTTACCTAACATCAGTGAATTTGCATGCCATTTTAATACAATGCATTACTAACACTTTGATAAAGATGGCAAAATAATTAATTTATATTAATTCTCGTACATCTTTCAAGCACTTTAAACCGTTACATACATGATACAAAATAGTAGTTACATAATTACTAGTTTTGTTTTTATTTAGAGTTACTAAGCAACATGAAAGGTGATAAATGTTATTTTTTTTAAATAAATCTTTATATTAACATAAAAATATTTCCAAATTTTTTTTAAGTTTGAGTTTTATTAATTGCGAATTACAGTCACTTATTGTACTTATATTAATTATGTAAAATATGTTAGGAAATTCAATAATTTTGTATTTTTTTTCCAAATAAATTATTTACTGAAAATACTGGAAGAAAAATCAAACAAAGTATAAAAATGTTTGTTTATTACATTCAAAAATAAATTGGCTATAAGAAAGTAATTTGTAACAAGTAAAAATGGTACATCATCTGCTTTCATACATTAAATCGTTATAATAATAATAATTCATAAATAACAATAACATTAGACATAAAAATATACCACCACATAAGATTTTGAATGTGTACATGCAAAGAAAATGTTATAAAATAATCAGTTTGAAATAAGAAAAATATCAAAATCTAAAAATAATAACAATAATTATAACCCGTTTAAAATGCACATAAAAATATCATAAAAAATAATTTAATTAAAAAAAAAACAATAAAATTCTATGTACTATATTTCACGTAAGTATACATGTTTGTGAAATATCTTTTCACTTCATTATAACTATGACAAAACAGAATAACTATGTACACAGAATATTAACACATTTAAGCTTATCCACATTATTGGTGTTTCTAATCAACAGTCTTCATAGATTGTAGAGAATACCAAAACTAAACAAGAGTTTTTCAATTTTCACTACATCTATATGAGTACAAACCTTGTATGATACAATTTTGGCATAAAAAAAATAAAATCATTTTTAAACCATACATTTTAGCATTTCAAAAATAAAACAATGTAAAATAATAATAAAAAAGATAAATTTATGTTGTCATTCATCGAATAGCAATTATTTTTAAAATCATAAATACCATAAGCATATATAAATTGACCACACTATTTAGCAGCATATTTTAATTCAGTACAATGACCAGTAGAAGATCAAAATTGAGCAATTTAATATTTTCATGTGATGTAATTATTATTCTGTAATGGGAATGTTATCACTAGCACTAAATGGAGTACCATCATATTTTCTTAGATGAATCTAAAACAAATTGAATACAATATTATCTTATATGGTTTCTGATATTCAGAAAGTAACTATAATGTTTTAGATATGTACCTGTAAGTGTAAATTTACTTCATCGCTACGGCTAAGATACGGAAAATTACCACCAGATTTCAGTTGAGCTAGTTTGGCATCAGGATATTCCTTGTAAATATTTTCCTTAATGGGAGAACCCAAGGCGTAATCATCGAATACATCCATTAGTGTGACACTCTTTAAACCTCTCATTAATGATGTATTAACACGACTATTCAAACAGTTTATAGTTAAACGAGATGCAAGGTCAGCTTGTGATAATGATTCAATCTAAACAAATATTGTTCATTTATTAAAATTTCTATTATAAAAGGTAAAATAATAGTAAGATAAATACCAGTTCAACCATGAAATCTATTGAATCCATTATTTGAGTATCGTAGAACGTTTCTCTAGATGAAAAATTTGACAAAACCATTTTCCTCAGTACTATGGCAGGTAAAATCCAGAACCTAGGGTGTAAAAAGAATTACTTAAAAATAAATGTAAATAAATGTGCTCAAATATTATTTGTTAGAAAAAAAGTTTTTACATAATTATTCCTTAGACAGCTAAAAAATCAAAATAATCTTTTCTATCAAGATTTAGGAATTATACTATCAGCTGATCTTACATTTTCTGAACACATCATATATACTCAATAAATTGATGCGCATGTTAGAGTTTATAAGAAGACAATGTTGAGACTTTAGTATTCATGGTCTACAAACTTTATATTGTTCAATTTATAATGGTCACATAAATATTTTAAATAAAATACAATCCCATTTCTTAAAATATTTGTCATATAAATGTATGACTCATTGTACAACTGAAGAACTAGCGTTAAAATTAGGTTTACATACTCTCCAAGAAGAAAATTCATTGATGTTTCTTTTGTTTTTTAAATTATTAAATAATCTAATTAATTTTCCTGAAGTTTTGGAGGCAATAGGTGGGTTAGTTTCTACTTTTTATTTAAGATCTAAATTAACCTTTTATGAATCTTTCCACTCTTAACTATATAGTTATAATAGATCTATATGTTGTATGCTCCAAGGCTGTAATTAAATAACTTTTGATTTTAATTTTGATAACAAATCTAAATTTTGGCTTTTATGTGTAAATGTCAAAAAGTATATCACCAACTGTATTAAGCATAATTTTATGTTAATAAGGAACTGTAAAGTAATAAAACTAAATACATTTTTAAGAATATAAAACTGGAAATTATTATCATTATAATTATAACAATATTACATTACTATAAACAAATTATGTTATTTTAGATGAAATTACATAAGAACAAATAAATATTTTCTTTTTTCCTTCATTTAAATATTCATAATATATATTTGATACAACACAATAAAACTTTTACTGAAGATGTTTTTTTTACCTATTATTTATTATGATTTATTATTATGTTTATTATTATAAAATATTTAAATTTATTTAAATTAATATAAATGAACATTCATTTCCAGCATCTAGAAGTTTGATAGTCAGTAGCACCACTTTTCCCCACAAGAACATACACAAATATACTTGGAAGTCTCCAGACGGACGGATTATGAATCAAATCGACCATATATTGATTGAAAAAAGATATAGATCAAGTATATCAGATATGAGAAGTTATAGAGGAGCAGACTGTGATACTGACCACTTTCTAGTAATATGCAAGTTTTGTCTCAAACTACAAAAAACGAATAGATATTTACAAAAAACACCAAAATTCAACATCGAAAAGCTAAAAGATAAAGAAAAAATATATCAAAAATATATCACTGACATTACAGGTAAATTAACTGAAAAACAAAAAACATATGAGAGAGAATGGACTGGAGTATCTTAAAAAAGATCACACTCGAAGCGACCCACAGCACACTAGGCGAACCAAAAAAACGAGAGAATAAATGGTTTAATAGTAACTGTAGGAAAGCCGTAGAAAAAAGAACTGGGCCCGTTAAAGAGACCTCCAGCTTAAGACCCCTTTAAGCGAAAAAAATTATGAAGTAGAATGGAGATTATGTAAACGAATCATACAAAGGGAAAAAACAAACTACATGAATAAACTATTACGTGAGACAGAACAAGACTACACACAAGAACATGGAACTTTTTCGTAAAGATTAAAAAGTGCAAACAAATTAACCTTAATCTAAAAGTTGTCAAGGATATTGATGACAACATTTTAATAGACCCAATTGAAAAAGTAACAAGATGGAAGAACTACTTTGAGGAACTGTTCAATAGTGAAGTACCAGTGAGACCAGTGCCAGCATGGATATCATAGGGCGGAACAAAAGGTAAATGATGTATCCATGCAAGTCAAAAAAGCTATAAAGTTTGAAAAATTGGAAAGCGCCTGGAACTGACGGAATTACGGCCAAATTAATTAAGTATGATGGGGAAGCACTAGATCAAGCAATATACGAGTTATGTTAAAAAATATGGAATGATGAGGAACTACCAGAAGAGTGGAATAAGGCTATATCTATCATGGTACCACTACACAAGGAAGATGACAAACTTAATTGTAACAACTATAAAGGAATATCACTATTGAACACGACATATAAGGTGTTTGCAAAAATATTACTAGGAATATTACAACCTTTTGCAGATGAGTATGTGGAGGAATACCAATGTGGGTTCCGGAAAGGAAAATCAACTATGGATCAGTTATCGGTGATTGGCCAAATCATAGAGAAAAAATATGAATACAAGCAAAATAAGTGGCAATTATTTGTCGACTTTAAGAAGGCATATGACAGAATTCACCGGGAAAGCCTTTACAATATAATGTACGAATTCGGAATTCCAAATATGCTTATTTTCCTAACAAAAGTATGCATGAATGGTACGAAATACCAAGTAAGAGTCGACAATGTACTATCCGAAGAATTTCAAGTGGTAACAGGCTTAAAACAAGATAACACTCTTTCACCACTACTGTTAAATATTGCACTGGAGAAAGTCGTACGTAATATACAAAGGGATAATCATAATATCGACATCGGAACAAACAAGATTGGTATTTTAGGTTTTGCAAATGATTTGAACATAGTTGGTGACGATGGAGAGAGCGTGGTACAGAGCACCGCACTCTGAAGCAAAAACCATAGGGCTGAATGTAAATGATAATAAAACCAAAGTGATGGAGCTATTACCAGAAAACAACCAGGTTGAAAATGTAGTGATTCAAGGGCATACATTTAAAAAAGTGCATCAATTTACATATCTGGGGGCCGCTATCAGTAGTAATAATGACTGGCCCATTGAATTAAATACCCGTATCATCAAAGCGGAATAAGCATCCTTTTCGTTGACTAAATACTTAAAATCTAAACTGTTTTCTAGAATAACCAAAATACATATCTATACAGCGATAATTAGACCAATGCTAACATATGGATGCGAGGTGTGGCCTTTGACAAGCAAAATGGAACAAAAACTCATGTCGTTCGAAAACAAAATACTGAGAATCATCTGCAGCCCAGTATACGACAATAATCTGGGGTGTTGGCGTAAGAGGAAGAACTAAAAGACCCGAGAGTTGACAGGAATATCAAGGATAACCAACTTTGTAAAGACCAAAAGAATACAATGGTTTGGGCATGTGATAAGAAGGTCTAACTCAGAGTACTTTAAAGCGGAGGCTGAATGGAAATCCGCAGGAAAAAGACCAAGAGGATGTCCAAAGAACCAATGGATAGGTAGATTAAAGCAGGACTTAGAGAAACTAGGGATACTAAATTGAGAAGAAAAAATACAAAATCGAGAGGAGTGAAAGGCGGTGTTGGTGGCGGCAAAAACTCTTGAAGAGTTGTAATGCCAATGAAGAAGAATGAAATGAACATTTATTATATAACTATACGCAAGGTAAATTTAATTTAAGATAGAAACAGTCAAAGGACAAGTGATGCATTAATCATGTAAAAGCAAAGCAACTTACAAAACAGCAGTATCTTTATATTTGAATATGGCCGTATCTGTAAATGAATTGCATAGGAATAGTGATACAACTCGGGGTTGATGAAGAATCGTGGAAAATTCTACAAACTTCTGTGCCAAAAATCCACCTAAGATAATAACATAAATAATTATAAAAAAAAATAAAAAAAATAGTACAAAATGTTCAAACTACAATTTTTACATGTTTATTTTGACTTTAAGATTAACTTTAGTACCAGGTGACTCATTTTAATCTTATTAACAATAGCAAACAACTTCTGTGGTTATCTGTTATGTACAATTTAACATCTACGTAAATGAAATTATTATATATATCCTACGAAGTATAAACATAATGCATGATATAATTATAAGAAGAAACTTAAAAAAGAAACAAAAACTGAAGAGATAATAATGAAATTCCACAAAAACAAAGGTATAGACTCCAGAAAATTTCTTATATTATGGTTAAGGTAAGCAATATTAACATTTATTAAAATTAAATATTAATGATAAAATATCAAATAATTATCATTATTAAAAATTACTTGAATTAGTAAAAAAATAAAAGTCCAATAAACAACAAGTTATTAATTAAAATTAATTTTAAACAGTTTAAATATAATGAAATCAAATTTTAAACATAATGTACTTAATTTTAAATGCCATATAAAATAAAATAATAAATTTTATTTTAAAGTATTATTTAAAAAATTGAAATTTGAATATGGTTATAAAAAATTATTGTCCAACATAAAGTTCAATTTGCCTATAGACAAATAATTTACAAAAATCTAAAATTATATAATTTGTCAATAGATTATTATAGAATTTATATTAGATAAATTACTTTAAGGAGTTATATAATTTTAAAGTATCTTTAAATCCTTAACTGTTTTAAATTTCAATTTTAAAAATAATATTATGACCTAATTTTATAATGCGAAATATTAAACTTTAACAATTATAACATAGCATACATAATAGTCTTAAGAATTTTTCTTACTAAATTAATTTTTAATAATAATTAATTTACTAATAATCTATAGATCAAAATATGAATAATATAGATATCAAATCATACATTTTTACTTAGAATGAATTTAATGCTTATAATTTATTGCTAAAACTTCTAAGAATTATACTGGTAATGGAATTTATAAACAAGTTATTTTGTTTATGTGGTAAAAATATAAAATGCTGAATTAACAAATTTGAAATCACATAAGTAACAATTAAATAATATTAATAATTATAGAAAAAAGTAATACCATTAGTTTTTTGTGTTTTTAATTTTTTGAACATACAAATTATAACTTTAATAATTCAAGCTATTGAGTGTAGTAGTTATATAAAGTTATCCAATCAATTATTTCCTCATGGCTTCAGTTATTTTACGGTAAATTTTTATACATTTTTTAAAATTACTTATATTAGTGTCATGAATAACACAAATTAAGACAGACAGTATGTGTATAAAAGAGAATCGAACAATTTTATTATTTAATAATATAATTTAATTTCAAGCTAAAAATTGCATAAAATGAAATAAAAAAGGTATACATTTAAATAAGAAAAATTAAAATAAACATTCACCATACATGTAATAGTATTATAATTGAATTTCCAAAAAGATATGTATTCTGACTCTTTTATCTTCTTTTAAATTGTTTACACATATTTATTGTACATATATTGTCTTAAATTGTGTATAAAAAAATAATTTAATCAATTTTATTGAATATATTATAATACATGTATAAGATTACAATGAGGTTTATTAATAGTTCATATGATTCAAGTGATTTAAGTTTAAATTAATTTACTTAACCCTATAAAATATGTATGATTTTATTTTATACCTTCAACTTCAGGTACCAGCATACATAGTTATGGTTTTTTTTATTTGATCAAAAAATAAATTTAAACTTAAATTAACTAATAATATTGATAAATGAAGTATAAATCCAATATTATTATTTAAGGTCATTGATTTTTTCACTTAAATTTTTATAACATATTTTATTCAGAACACTATCAATAGTTTGAGATATAAGCTGACCTACTTTAGTAATTTTCTCATAAAATGATTATGAACAACATTTCTATGTAATCATAGATATTTCTATAGTTACCTAAAGATGCACCGAATAAATGCACTTGCTTGATGTCCATATGATCTAACAGTTGCATAAATCCTTCACACCATTCAGTCACACTCCAGTACGGTGGATTCTCAGCCTAAAAAGTAAATAATGTTAAAAAATAATAGCATAATTCCAAGAGGTATTTTTCATAACACAGATTGGCATAGGTGGTACATACTGATATGACACGGTAACCTTTAGAACTGAGAGCTAGCAGTTGTTTAAAAAACACTTCGGCTCGTCCGCTAACTGGATGCAAAAACACCATTGGAGTCTCAACCGAGCGTGGACCCGTGTCATACACTCTCCATCCCTACAAAAAAAGAAAAAAAACACATAACAACATCAGCCATTGGACACATAGTAACACGAATACAATGCAACCCATAGACAATTAGTTGTCAACGAAAAAACAATTATTACAACTAGAATAGTGACTTCAATATAACTACTGCGTCCTACAAACGTGGGGTAACCAGTGGCGGATTAAGGGGCAGGCTAAAAGGCTTATAGCCTAGGGCGGCTTTTTTGGGAGGGCTGCTTTTTCTTTTTATAGAATTAAGTGTTATTATTAACTTATTAGGTATATTTATTTTAATATATTTTTTTTATATTTGTCATTTAAACACGAATAAAAATAATTTTAAAAAGTTAAAATAATATATTAATATGTATCTAATATGATGCCTACCTTTAGACTATAGTAAGAATATTACAATTATTATTACAATTTGAAAATATTTCATTTGTAATAAAATAATTACAGTTAGTTACTAGTTATTATTAATTACTTATTAATACTTATGTACTTATTGGGAACATCAGACTATCTGAGTATAGGTATTTTTATATCTGACTATTTATATTTCCATTGTGTGACTGTTTAAGCATTGTTTATTTGTACTGGTAATAATGGTATCTGAAGTAAAATAATAGACAAGAAATATTTTAAATAAATAAAATATTTTCTATTTTAAAGATTTTATATTTTATATTTTTTTTTGATAAAAAAACTGAATAAAATTTGAAAATAAAGGTTTAGACCAAATATTGTTGGTTCCTTAGTAGAGTGATAGGGGGGGGGGGTCAGAGTGATTAAGCCTAGGTGCGCCAAAACGCTAAATCCACCACTGGGGGTAACTGTTAAAATCATATTATATAACTACCTTGTTCGTGCCGGTGTCGTCCAATATGATTTGTTTGAGCGGTACATTGCATCTGAAACTCGTGTACTCTGGCGATTGAAATATCCCACTGGAATAGCTGCTGTTCATGTCGCAGCGTCGTCGTATCACCGGGATGATTGTTCTTCAACAACGACGGTAGTTGTTTATCGCCGACAAAACATAGGCCGCGATAATAGAGAGTAAATTATTGTTAATAGTGCGGAGTGCCTGCAACATTGAGCGTGGCGGAGAGAGAGGGAAGGATATACTACGATAAAAAAAGAAGAAAAAAGAATGGAAAAACTGCAACGGAGTTCGTGAAACGGTGAAGGGGAGTGGGAGAGGGAGTAAGAGGAAAATGAAAATAACAACTTGTTGCTGAACACGAATATGTTGATAATAATGCGGGCGCAGAGCTGGTAGACGTGATCATCACGTCACTATTAGCTTCTATAAATATATATATACATACAAATATATACACCTGTTTTTATTTATATCAATATTATGATACGCGTACAACGGGGCAGAAAGTGAAAGAACATGTGAACACTGCATTTTTACATAGGTACTGTTATCATGGAGTATCATTATTAATAAAATGGGCTATTATTACTGAAAATTCATTGTTTGGCCATCGTTCTCGTTGAATCTGTTCGACCGGAGTAGCGTTTGCGATTTCGGATCATGGCACTTCGGCAAACGTAGCTTACGATAACCCGATTTTAATCAATGCGAACCGAGCCTATCTCCTTTTGACCCGGGTTTTAAGTAGGTGCAAACGTGAATTCCTCCGTCGCGTCATCGTTTCCTCGATTAACTCTCTCTCTCGCTGTTTAATGCGTTTCGTCATTCTTCTATGCCTCGCACAAGCCCACGCACCAATGTTTATTGGTAATCTCCTACAAACCTTGCCCGCACGCAGCACACGAACGCGTTACCGATAATCGGAAAGCCACCGTCCACCGACTATCGCACAGAATCATATTCACCATTAGGCAAGATAGATGAATAAATTGCCCATGGTTTTCGTTATTAGGGGGCCTCGGATTTCTATGAATCTTTTTTTTTTTTTAGAATACAACTTTCACCGCTTAAAATACATCAAAGCACAGTATAATATTTAAAAAAACAGCGTAAAATTCTACATTTATTGTTTCGCCTAAAGGTCTCGAAATACCTGAATCAGGATTAATACTGCGGAACGGAACATTTGCGCGGTAAACATCTGCTAGCCGAGCGTATGATAATAGGGCCCCTTATCACAACGACGAATGAATAAACTTAGGCACAATAATTGTTAACGTATTCTTGAGGTTTTTTTTTTATAATATTTCCCCCTTTTGAACCTATCACATTAATAATATATTTCATTCGAATCGTTTCAATTACTGTTCTCCGTATTAATTTCGGTTCGACGTGCGCAACGAGATTAATATTGTCGATGGCACCGTCGCGTGCGAATGAAATTAAACGACGCCAAATATGTGTGCAATGCTATAATAATGACCCGAGACGTGCGTCGTTAACTTAACGGTTACCGGGAAATGTCTCATTTCGTTTTTCCCGAATTATTTATTTCGCATTTCCGCGACGCCAGACGGACGTAGCCCAAGTCTGTGTATAGTGTCGAGTTTTATTCTGACGTTGTTGTCCGAGAGCTCCAATGCTAAATCGTCATCACTCCAGTGTATTTTACATTCGACAACAAAGAATTCTATTATCGTGTTGGGTTACGACGTGTTTCCGCCAACTGGGTCATTCTGGTCCGATCAAACATGAATTTCGTCGTGGAACTGAACAACAAGACCGCCGGTCGGGATAGATTAGCAAGGTATATATACATAATATTATGACGATTGGTGCGTATAAACCGTAAATAGTAGCTGAGAAAATGTTGCAACTGCACGTCACACTCTGAACTGTTTTCGAGACTCCACTTGGTCATATCTTTCTATAGTAGTTGAAAGTTTATGTATGAAACCATAGGTGACGGTTTAATGTTACTCCTATTTTTTCGCATTTATGATTTCATGCTATAGACTTTGTTAAATTTTAACTTATTCTGGTTAAACCATTGTTATTGATACTTATGTGACTAAACACAGCTCAACATGAACAATTTATTCCGACAATCTGTAAAATTCATATATGGACTTGTGCTTATGTTTGTTAATAATTACACGTTTCATAAGCTTACACAAAAAGGCACGCTTTTTCGGGTGATTGCTTCAAACTAATGTGTCTACTTCATCTATATCAGTGTTCAAAATACATGACTTATAATAATGACATACCTACATGGTCACTATTAATTTTACCTTAAATAAATATTTCTATTTAATTTTTACGGTTTTTATACATTGTGTATACCTATGTATGTAGATTATTTTTATTAGTCAAAATGAAACACTTACATAAGTTATTGGTACCTATATGCTTTTGGAAATAGTTTAGGATTAATTTGAACATGAATTGTACTTTAGCAGTTAAAAAAGATTAAATGATATGATTCTATACTACTTAATATTTAATAATGTATAACGTAAGTGGTGATAATGTTTTTTTTTCATTAAAATTATATTAAACATTTTCTATTTTCAGATTTGTTCAATATAGTTCAAAAGCAGCATGGCACTATATGGAAAAAAATAACTTTGATGACAGATCGGTTGAAAAATTCAAAGACCTCGAACAGTCCTTAGCAGCGTTTCGTAAATGTATACACCGATTTTAATTATTCATACCTTTAGTTGACACGGGTTTTATGCTCATATGAAACTTTATTTAAATTTAAATTTACACTTGGTTAATGTATTTTTTAAATAATTTAAGAATTGATTATGTTATATTTGTAACTTACTAAATATAAAGCAATTATAATGCACTTCCTGTAATTTTCAATCATATATAATTACTTAAATTATCTAAAAAGTTATTACAATTTTTTTTCTGAAATTGTATAATTAATTGATGGATTACAAAGTAAAATTAATCGTTACATGTTGGAATATTTGATAATTGGTTAATAGCTTCTGAAAGATAGAATCTATTTTTCGTAAATGTCTTAAATGTACTACTACATTTAATGTTGATGATGCAAACTTATTATTTTGTACCCTCAAAAAATAATACATTTTAATGTATTTCTAGTTCATAAATGAATATTATATTATATTACCAACATACATTTTCTCACTTGAATATAAAAATTCCATTTATAATATTTGGTATGAATGGTTTTAGTTTTTATTAAAAGTACTTGGTTATATTTCTTCAAATAATTGATTTAATATAAATTAATGATTGATGGATAATCTTTGGAAAATTAAGGTTTTTAATAGTTTTTCTGAACTGTCACAAAATGAGACTAATTTACAAGTCTAAAATATTTATAAAAATAATACAACCAAATTGTTAAATTTAATTGATAATATTGTTTTTTTTTTTTTTACAGTATTGAGATTTGGCCGCTTTATTGATTCTTTGCATACTGCATTACGAACTATCAATCATTCAGATAAAACTGTCAGATTTTGTGTGACATTTTCAAAAATAGCCCATTCATTGTATTTGTTGTGTGACCATTTCATATGGTTGAGTAAACATAGTTTTATACAAATAAATACGACTAAATGGAGCCAAGTAGGCAATAAGTATTGGTTACTGTCCATAGTTCTGAATCTTGTAAGAGATGCTATGGAATTGAATAATTTGCTCAAAGCCATGCTGAAAAAAAAAATTTTGAACACTTTGAATAGAAAAGTTTCTCCCAAAGATGTTTTTACCGGCGAAGTAATTCAGTTTGTCCGTAGCAATAAAGATTTGTTAATTGATACTGTTAAAAATAGCTGTGATTTAATACTACCTTTGACAAATTTGGGTTTAATAAGGTTTAGTCCAGGTACAATTGGTGTTGTTGGTATGATTTCATCGGTGCTTAGTTTGTATACATTAATGGATCAGAGAGCTAAGTTACCTTACACGTAAAATAATAGTTACTTCAGTTTTGTTTTTATTCAGTCTTTAAGATTTAAAGACTATATTGAATTCAAGTGTTTTAAGGGAATAGGTTGTGATAAAGGTTATGTAATCGTTTTTTAAAATCAAAACTAGTGTTTATTTATTCTGGTGTATTTAATACTTTAATAATAAAAAAAATTGGTTTAAAATGTATATGTTTATATTTTAACTGTTAACATTTGTGATTTATAAATATTTGTATACTATCATTTAGTATTTTATGAAATGATAAGCCTGTTATAGGTAATTTTTGAGTGTGCTTGAGTATTGGTTTCTAAGGTATTTTAGGGTGGTTGACTTTATATTTTAACTTATGTGTGACAAATTAATCAGTGTAAAGAAAAGTTGATAAAATTGGTTACTATTGGGTACAGCAGTTCCTGTTTTTAGAACAAATATTTTTTAATTAAAGCATTTAAAATTACACATATAGACAAATAAATTATTTATTGTAATTTTTAAAATTCTACCAATAAATATTTAATATTGTTTTAATCACACAATTTTGCAAAAATATTTTGTTGGTAAATTCACAATGTTTTATAATTATGTAAGTTAAATGTAAAAATTGTATCTCGTTTCGGCGAATAATAATAATGTTTTTGAGACCTCCAAATTGTATATTGAAATTATTAAATTGCATATTATATAAAAACATATGTTCAGTCTGTTAAATTTAATCATCTGCATTATGAATAGGTATATTCTGCTTTTATTATTTTCATAAATGCTTCTTACTCCTTGTACTCATTAAAATAGTTGGTAATAAAAAAATCTAACAAAAATATATATGACTTAGAAGCAAATGGCACTGAATTAAATAAACGTAACAGTATAGCTTAATTTTTAATACAACCGTGTGATTTTTTTTAAGTATTGTTCTAGAAGCAGATGCGAAAAAAGAAAAAGCTTGAAAGCTTGCCTGCCCGTTTATAACATTCTATTAATGTTTAAAATATTTGTTAAATATTATTTCTTGTTTTTTATTTTATCTCACTGTTTTATATATTATAATCTTAACCGATACATGTTGTATGCAAATAATAATAATAATTTTTTTATTTATGAACAATCAGTAAACTTAAATTACAATATTCGCCTTAAGAATAGTAATAATTTATTGTTGTCAATAAGCTTGAAGTACTAATCAGGATCAGTATTGGTGCTAACGTTTGCGAGGCCCTGGACAAAATAAATATTGGGTCTTATAATTTATATTAATAAAATATTTTAAATTCTGTTAAATCAGAACCGCGGGGCTTTAATTATAATTTAAGGCGCGAGGCTCTGGGCAATTGCCCCTATTGCCCACCCCCTCGCGCCGTCCCTGATTAAGATGGTAGAAAATAATACTTATTTAAATAATCTTATGTATCACAAAACATACACTTTTTTTTTTTGTGTGTGAACCGAGGATCGGACGGGTACAGTTAGTTATTACCATTCCACCCATCTGATACATACATTTAATTAGCTTATAAGTTATTTAATCATAATTCATAGTTATTATTGCAAACCAGTGCTTGACTTGGCAAATTAAAAAAGAAGGGGGACTCTGTTTACTTTAAAAAAAATAGCTTTCCCAAGACTTGATAATCGTTATAATTATAACGTAATAATTGTAGAGGGACGCTAAAATTTCTGAAAATTGGGGTACTGCGTCTCCCCACAAGTCAAGCACTGTTGCAAACATAACATAATCTACAATATTAATTATCTTTACTTATATTAACTACCTGCAGCTTAATGAAAGAGTTGTGTAGTTGGGTATAATAATCTCCTTGAATAGTTGCTATACCGTAGTTCTATATAGTTTTTAATGTTTGGTAAAAAAAAAAAAAAAATTCAACACAAAGAATTATTAAAATTCTCAAACACGTATAGAATACATGTTAAATTCCATTCCGCGACCATGCATACTTCTCTTGATAAAATAAGTAGGTAACTACTACTGTGTTTCCTAGCTTAAATATTTTATGGAAAGCTAACCATGTTGGTTTATCTTTTTTCAAAATGTCCAAAAACTCCACTCAATTTATTTTTCATTTAAAGTTTGTAATCTTACTCGATTTTAATATTTTTTTAAATAATGTAGTGATATTTCACAATTTTTTTTACATGGAACTTCGATTAGAAGTGGTAATGATCAATTATTGTAGCTTTCAAATTTATTAACGAACACTGATTACGATCATAGTATTATTAGACAGTCGTATTATTTGAGAACAAACAGGAGAATGTGCATTTGGAACAAGTATCTTAGAATATTTTTATGCATAGATAATGTGATTGACAGCTAAACTAATGAATTATAAGATAATAAGTAAATAATAATTAGCTTAACTTAATTTCATAAATATAACTTAAACTTACTAAACTCTGCAAGTGATGCACAATACAGTAATAATTCTCTCTATATACTTATAAAATCGTACATGTATAGGATAGCCTACCATGATATCTGCTGGGAACATTTCCGTTGATATTAGTTTATTTTATTACGGTGTAAAGCCGATCTCACTACTCGTGGTTCGCCTGCATACCAAACTTCAACGATCCGAGTCTACACGCATTACCTCTGTAGATGCTTTACACGAGTCATAATGATCCCACGACGCATCCCTTGTCACGGTATTCATTGTCGAACCACCGTGTCTGTCTCTTATCGAAATCGGTTCTGTGTTATTATTTTTTTTAATTTAAATGTAAAATTAACAAACAAGAAGAAATTACGACTGTTGCGGCATATTTTATTATAGGTATTATATTTATATACTATTTTATTATATTATAGAGAATTCTTTAAATTTTTGATTGAGGTTTTTTGAAAACCTTTAAACAGCATTATCAAATTTGTGTTATGGAATTTTAGGACTCCAGATACAAGGTTATTGTTTATAGACCACAAGGAATTTCAACATAAGTTCGTTTGATCATTCTATATTTGTACACAAATTATTCAAACTAAAAGAAATGAAAAAAAAAAAAATACCGAAAAAAAGTGACTAAATCTTTTTTATTCACACGCAATATACACGAGTCACGTACGTCAATAGAAACGCGTTGGATCGGCTTGCTGAACACCGAGCGCGGCTCGTCTCCTTAGACTCGCGTACGAAAGACTGACAACTCTGGAAAACACGATTGTAATCGAATTCGTATTTTTATTCCTTGACCAGCCGGAATATTCAAGATTACTTGAAATTTTTATTTCTTTACAATTACAAAATACTTTCTTTTTTTTTTTTTGATAGGTAAAAGTTTCTATGGAAATATCTAAGTATCGCAATTGAAAATTAAATTATTGGTTTTATGTAACTATAGATAATGTTATGGCTTATAAGCGTATCGTTTATTGTAATCATGAATATTATTATGATTCTATAATTAATGGTAATGATTATTAATATTTATGCGATTGAAGCTACTGCCAGTAATACAAATTATTGCATTAATGAATAATTTATACTATTTTTTTACAAGAGGCAATATAATTACTGAATATGGTTACCCTATTCTATAAACTTTAACTATGAAACCAATTATTAAATTTTCAATCACGATACATTGGTAATGTTTTTATATTTTGTGGCAATATTATAATAGCTAGGCACAGATTGGCCCAACCGGGAAATTGTGAGTTTTCCCGGTGGACTGAATTGCTCTGTAGATTTGGCCGTAACTCAACATCACTAATAACGACCGTGTTCCAACCTATTTACCATTTTTTCGCACTAAAATATTTTTCCAATCAGTCCTTGATAATGATATCTTGTAGTTTTATGGAAATTAACATATTTAAATGTATTTTCCCGGTTAGTTAAGGGATAAAAATACAGATTTGAAGATTTGAATATGAATCCGTTTATTGTGACCTTTTTCTTTAGAGCTGTACTAAAATAAAAAATATCTACGGAGATATACCATCGTATCACTATCGAATTATAATAAAAATGGAAATTATTTACTGTTTCTGCGTAAACTTTGAATTTAACATGTATTTACAACATTCATAATATTCGTTTCACGATAAATATTTTTGCCTACTACATTTGTGTGTCACGAATTTTTGACAGAAGCTGATACTAAGTGTACATTTCACTTTTACACAGCGAAATTAAGAAAGAGACCGAAAATAAAGATGTATAATTATTTTAATGCAATGCAACATAATTATTAAACATCGAACATCAACAACTCAGATACAGGTTTCTTAGGTACGTATTAATTAAAACGTAAACGCATGTGGTATAAACTGCTCGTCATTATACTCGAATAAGATTTAATATAAATTATATGACCTGTTACGTACACCAATTATAATAATGATATTCTCGATCTAAATGATAATTGTTATGCAGCGATGATATTATCCGTTATGTTTTCTATTTACATCGCATTATCTAATGCGTATTACAATAAGAGTAATAATAGTATATGGATTTATTTTATTGGTCAAGTGAGAGTTCTTATTGACTCATTTTTGTTTATACGTTTGTGTGTGCGTGTGCACGCAATCTACTAGATCTCAGTCTAATGGCATTTATCCGTCGTTAATTATTAACGACATTTCAAATTCATCTACCGAATTAAAACGCATTTATGTTTATGTGTATAAATTATGTTACTTATTAATAGTTATTTGTTATTATAATATTTGTTAATTGTTAATATTGCTTAATATTATAAGAAAACAAAATGGATTTTAAATTGACATATGTTTACAGTACTCAATATATATTTTATACACATAT